TAAAAAAATTAAGTGAAAGATATTTTGTGTGAAAATTGCAAAAAATTAAAGTAATTAAGAAAAACTGAAATGTTTTAAGATAAATAGATAGATTGAAAAACTTACAGAGCTTCTTGTTACGTATGAAATAGCGAGCCTTTGTAATAATTAAGGAGCATTTTGTAAGGCAAAGAATTTGATTTTGTAGAAATTGTAATTTATTCAAGTCCCTGTTGTTGCTTACGGTGTTTCATATGGGTGAAGCATATGAATATACAGTTTTTCCCCTTTAAAAGGGAATTTGAAGTTTCTACCTATATGTGGTTTAACAGAACTGAGGATGCCATGAGCAGTGCTGGTGACTTTATTGACCTGGGCTGTAAATGATCTCTTTAAATAAAAACTAACCTCTGTGTTGTTCCGCGCTATACTGAAAAGTATAAACAAAATCTTTCAGATTGTGATAGCTCAGTCAGCTATTGGTTGTTCATTCAAGTCACAGACGAGAAAGCTGAATACGAGCGAACTCGGATTTACGTCTTCTGCGTAATGCGTTTGGTTTGGTTTATTATTAAATTACGGCAAAGCACTCGAGGGCTATCTGCCTTAAGGGAGGGAAGCCTTCGTGGAGGACTCTTTAAGGGAAACTGGCTCGTATACACGTTACACATGGGGAAAACCACGAAAAAACCCATGCAGCCAGCCCGTTCGCACCTCGGACCGAACTACCAGTGTTCAGCGACGTTACCGCTCGGCCGCTGGTGGGCTCTGCGTAATGCGAATTAACATCACCGGGAGGGGGGGGATCGACAGTTACATCTCGAGCGTACTGGTGTAGACGGGCCCTTAGAGTGCGTATATGTGGAAGTACAAAGAGAATTACACATTTTTTTTCTAAAACGCTGAGAGTTAATCTACCCCTCCCCCCGTCTGATAACTGTCCTGTGTAAGCTGACTCCTACCTCCGACGTTACAATTATAAACAATTTACAATTGTAAACAAAAATGTCATTAAACATTATTTTAAACATTATTTACCGATATTTTTGTTTACATTGTAGAGTCATTATGTTATTTTGAAGCAGGAGTCATGAAAAAGGAGCAATACCCTCAGCGGAACTCGAACCTGGACCTCTCAAATAAGCGCCGAGTGTGTTAACCGTTACACCACGAAGGCATGCCGAAAGGAGGGAGAAAAATACCTTATCATGTCATCTCTCCCCACTTGCAGGTACGATACCGATCAGCTTCCAGTGATGCATCGTGGGCAATTTTCTGTGCGATGAGACTTTAAAATAAACTATAGATTTGGCCATTCTCTGGAGAACACCAAGTTATTAGGGCCCTGAAGATCGGGAGGTAAACAATTTTACTAGTGATAATAACTGTCAGAAAGGTTCAAATTTCCAACAATATGGTTATCTCAATTTTCAACCAGATCGTACCAGTGCATAGTTGTCTAAAGGATTTCAAACTATAAATCTTAGGCTATCATTCGCATGAGAGATCTTTCGGATCTGCGAATTAATTTTTCCCCTCCGTCCCGGAAATGTTAAATATTGTATAATATTTTTAACACTTTGGAAGTTGTTTCTTTGGTAGTGATAAAACTGCATGCGATACAAATAATGATCCAGAAATACGAGAGTACAGTGTTGCCATCGACGATGTGTAAAGTCTCTTAGATATTAGATTTAGATTACGCGCAGCATTTTAAAGCCGACCGTCTAAAAGCAGAGATGTCTTCTTGGAAGTTTTTTTTAAGGAAAACGCAGCGGATTCACCTTATGCACCAGGGAAAAGTATACAATGCCTCATGCGGCCTATGTGTGCCTTCTCGCACAGTGAAAGAACAACGGAACCTAGAGCCACTAAATTTTTAATAACGTAGTCCTGCTCCCGAACATCGGCACCTGGAAGCACGAATTTGGAATTTGTTGCATTAATGTGTTTTATATTTTGTAAAACGTTAAAAAAGTTTTGGTTAACAAACTCAACAATTTCAAAGCGAGCAGTGCCAACACTGTTCGGAATAAAACACTTTTTATCTCCAGCGCACGAGACTGTGTATCAGAAATTCCAAATATATGCTGTTTTTAAATATTTTGCTCTCCAGTAGAATTTTATGTGACATAAGTGCCAAGAACGTGATATTTAATAAATAAAGTTAGTAAACAAAACGTTAATAATAAAAGTTTTGTAAAGCCATCATACCGAGAAAACTAAACATTGATATGATGAATTGAGAAAAGCAGAAAAATGTAAGCCAACGTTTCACGCTGCATCGGGAATTTTAAACTTATACTGCTACGCTGCTTTTAAATTTTTTGTAATTTTGCTGTTGAATTGTATATGGCGTAAGAGCGAAGAAAATGATGCTTAATCATAAAGCTGAAAAGACAAAAAAAAAAAAAAAAAAAAAAAAAAAAAAGTAGAAGTAAAAGTTAGTGTAACAGTAGATTGCGAACTTAGAGAGAGCATAAAAAACTTTAACAAACCCTTCTGGATGACCGCTAAAATCTGAAATCTTTCAGATCTTTTTTTTAAAATTATTTTCTGTATTTTTAAATATTACGTTTTTTTTATAAATCTTGATGGAAACTCTTCTTTGAAGTACTATTGGACTGGAGTTTTAACATCTAAACTTCGTAACCCTTTGTTCGGGTGAAACGGCGAGAATTTTTTTCTTACATAGATTTTCAACAGTTCTGATTGAGCGGCGTTTGCATGAAGCGCGTCGTAGTCGGCGCGTTCTAAACCCATTCATTGCATAAGCCGTCATTTTTATTTTGCTGTAAATTCCAGCACTCCTGGGAGGGGGTGTGAAAACGTCGCTGACGCTTTTTGGCAGCGAATCCCAAGGTTATTTCTGATGCGTACAATATTACAAAAGCAAGTTTTTCAATGTCAGCTTTCCCTCCTCTTTTGGCTGTTTCTTTTATCTTTTTGTTCGCTGCTTTGAAATCACGTGATTCATAGGAATTTCTCAAAATATTGTTGTTGGTTTTTAAGTCATAAAAATACTTACTTTATGGTGGTTGACAAATTAATTCGTAAGGCCGTATCTTAAAAGTCACTGGTATTCACTAACCATCTGAAAGCGGATTATTTATTATATAAATTAGTTTTATTTTTCTTTAATCCTTATTTCAAGGCATAAAACATGTCTTTTTAATGTGCTGAAAAGAGCTTTATGACTACTAAACCTTCTTCGTACAAATGCCATGCACCTGTTTTCACAACCTTTATTTTTATTTATTTATTTTTAAAGTTTTTCGTTATGTTCTTCGGAATATTTGAAGTGTCCACTTAATAAGGAGGATTTCACTATTTTGAAGAGAAAAATAATCCGAGGTACCAAATCTGGCGAGTGAAGAGAGTGGCTGAAAATTTTGATAGTAGAAGCTACTACAAAGGCTGTTCACACATTTTTTAGACGATGTATATTGTATTCACAAAACTAAATTACATAGAATTCTTGTGTTTTAAGTGTTCTATTTGACATCCCTTATTCTGAACTATCTTTCGACACCGCAATTTCCAGGATAATAATGCCTTTTGAAGTGGCAGAAGAGGTATTCTATCCCATTCCTCCCCGAACAGCTTTCCAGAGTCCTGTTAGGGTTTTGGGACAACGTCTGGATAATGCAGTTTTTAAAAGTCCGAAAGCACAAAAATCCATAGGTGACACATCGGGAGATTTAGTAGGGATATCAGTGAAGGGTATGGCCTTGATACCAGTTTTTTGTTCCATTTCTTTTAGGAAATTTACAGTGGATTTTGATGTGTGACTGCTAGCTTTGTCCTGATGGAGTCTCACAGATGGATGGCACTGTGGGTAAAGCGATGGTATTTCATTCAGAAAAATTGGCGATAAAATATGTTCCTGATAGTATTTGGAGTTAATCTTGACATTTTTTTGCACTCTCTTTATTTTTAACTTGCCATTATAAGAAAAACCAGCAACAATCATGAATCCCTTAGAAAAACTTTCTTTCGATTCTTTGAACCATGTACTTAAATTTTTTTCTCCCCTTTTATGATAATAAATGGCTCTTTTTTTTTTGTTACAATCATTTAAATACACCCATGCTTCATCTATTGTGACAATTGTTTTCCATTTTTCTTTGGATAAGTGTTTCTCATATAGAATTCTGCAGCGTGTCCTGCGTTGAGCGATATGCTTTGGAAGAAGACGATGCACATTGCGTTTTTTCGCTTTCTTAAGATTTAAATCAACGTTTATCATTTTGTTTACTGTGGACACCGAGCATTTGAATGATTTTGCAACTGTCCTTTGACTAGGGGGATTTTCTTTTAACATTGAACAACGTACCTTTGCAATAGTCGAAGATGTCCTTTTTTTCCTTGGATATTGGTTTGGAATTTTTGTCCCACTTGAGGCTCCAATTTGACGTTTGTTTCCTTTCTTGTTGATGATATTACCTATCGACGCTTTAAATATCACAAAACCATGACTCTCACATCGTTTTTGGATGTTTGTTTTTGGATGTTTGACAGTTGTTCTCGAAACGGGATTTTATGTTGAATCACTATAAACTGCATGTCACTTTTCAAGTGGTAGCCACCAAATAATATCACCCTGTTTTATTTTTAAAGAAATTAAATAATGTAGAATCTGCATGATTGTATGAATGTTTTTTCTCAGTATGAAAAAGCAACTGTACTTAAAGCCATCGAATTTTGTATACATGTGTACTGGAAGCCCGGATTTTAAATTGGTTTAATATATTTCATACTTTGTAAAACTTTAACGAATTTTTGATTAGCAAACTCAACCATTTGAAAGCGAGCAGTGGCAACACTGTAGGGAATAAAACATTTTTATCTCCAGCGCTCGAAGTTGTCTATCGGAAATTCTTAAGATATGCTGTTTTTAAATATCTGGTGATTTTACTGTTGAATTGAATTTTATGTAAGTGAGAAGATCGTGATATTTAAGAAATAAAGTTAATACAAAAAACGTTAATAATAAAAGAACAAAAAACGTTTTTTCTTACCTCCTTACGAAGTAAACTTCTGAACACTGGTATGATGAACTGAAAAGAAAAAAAAAAAAAGTGAAAATGATATTACTGCATCGAAAATTCTAAATTTTGTGATTTTGCTGTTGAATTGCATATGACGTAAGTGTGAAGAATATGATGTTTAATAACATACGTAAAAAGGCGAAACAAATGGGTCTTGAAACAAAAGGCTATTTGCCTAAGGGAGGAGATGCCTTCCTGGAGGACTTTCTAAGGGAAACTGGCTCGTATACTGTCTGTCTACGAGAAGAACAGCTCCCGCCACAGTGTCTGGGCGGTCGCTATAGCAACAGGGCTAGTATATTTCAAAAAGGGGCGAAGCAGGAGTTGCTTTATTGTTATTTTGTTTTTGGCGACTGTTGGCTGAGGGGAAAACAGTTCATCATTCGTCTTAAAGACACCCCTACGGAAAATGGGTCAAGGCTCGTTTCTACGGCAACAGACAGATGCAGACTAACCGGCGAGAGCTTTTCTTATGATAGACAGACTGTACACGTTATACACGGGGAACACCACGAGAACGCCCATGCAGCCAGCTCGTTCGCGGGATTCGAACCTCGGGACCAAAGTACCAGTGTTAAGCGATTTTTACCGCTCGGCCGCTATGAGGCCCTGTTTTTTAAAGAAATCGTGACACATTCATTCGTAGAGGCATACAACGTTGAAATCACCTATGTCTTAAAGCGCATGAATTAAATTGATAAGAGAAAACAAAATAGAAAGGTTTTTGAAAATGTATTCTTGATGGCATCCTGATATCCAGATGGTATCAGACGTGTTCTAATCCGTGTTATTATTTTGTAATGCGAATTTCTCGTCTGTCCTGATTTATTCTTTCTTACCGAATCTACCGAAGGTTTTCAATTAATTTCCCATGAAACAGCCGTGGCGAATTTGTTTTCTCGAAATTCATGCCATTATTCCATTTCTTCTTCTCATGGAAGTGCGCTTACCTTTAATCGAATTCTTAAATTTATTCCTTCTGTCGCCCTAAAGCAGAGGATGTCATTCTTCGAAGTAGTAAGTTCTGCAGCATGAAATGAATTCTTTTTTCTGCCGAGTTTCTTTACGAGAGTACTGTTTTAAACAATTTCCACTTATTCTGCTATTAAAATCTATATCACATAAGAAAGATTATTTGTTTATCCACGGCACATCGAATGAAATGAATTCTACCGCTAAAGTGGTGACGCATTTCCCCGCTAGAGGGTGCTCGAAATCTAATTTCATTTCGCGCTGTTCTTCGAAACTTTTCTCTTAAATTTTTTAAGAACTTCGTTGAATATATTCTTTTATTTTAATAATTATTTCTGCCGAAGAACATATATCGAAGAAAATTGAGAAAGAACATTTTTTTTATTATTATTATTACTGTTATTTACATTCAACTCTTATAAGAATTTGTTTTTGAGACCTTTATCTGTAAAATAATCGAGACTCGCTAAAAGTTTTCTTTTTTCTTTTTTTTTTTTCAGATTTACCGACTCAGGTGCCCCCTTTGACACCAGGTACAAATCAGAAGATGACTCAGGCACTGAGAGCCAGTTTCAGCAGTTGGGAAAAAGAACGAGTTCAGAGAAATATTCCAAAAGGTGAGAAATAGTCCTTTTTTTGAATACAGTTTATGTAGTTTTCCGTAACTTTAACTGCTATTGTTATCTTAATCAAGCACAATATCAAAGCATTTATTAATACATAGCTGCCACGGTCTTTTTTATCATAACTCTTGGTTTCTCAGTAAATTACCAAATTTTAATTAATTTTAATTTTTAGCCTTTATCAAAGATAGTATTTCCCAGCAATAAATAAAATGTATTGAATTAATGAAACTTAAATTAGGCAAATTTAAACTCTTCTACCTCTAGTAATTTTCTGAGTAATTTTTCGTATTAAATTTTATTTCATTTGAATTGTATTTTTTATTACATTTTTTATTGATCTTATTAAGTTTAATTTGATCATAGTCTACTATCAATAATGTTTACTATCGATGTCTTAGTCTACTATCGATATTTGCAGATTTTTACATGAAGATTCAAGCAATGTCTAATCAGTTAATATTTATATTTATTTTACTTCAATATATGCTGCATTACTAAATTTATCCTGAGAAAGTCTTTAAAATAAGTGTACGTGCCATTTTGAAATTACCTTTGGTTAGGGTGAAATGTCAGTAAAATTTACAATTAATTTTGGCTCATTAATATGTAAACACCCACTCTGTATTACACTTTTATTTGTATATTTCTTTTATTTCATTTGTTTCTTAATTTTATTTAATTTTTTGATATATTTTTCGTTTATTCAAGTTTATTCATTATTTGTTATATTTCATATATTTTTCGTTTTTCAAGTTTTTAACTGTGCTGTAGGAATACTATAATTATTTTTTTATTTATTTTTGAAATTAATTTTAATTAATTATTTGTCATCGCGTCGGGGAATTAATTCATATTTCTGAACTTCTTTAAAATTTATATTCAGATATTATAAAATTGATTGGGAAATTTAAAATTGGTATAGGGATTTTGTTCAGAAATGCGAAATGACGAAACGCAGTCCTCATGAATGTATGGAGAGATTCCAATTGCCCTCAAAAAGTTGGGATCATTCTATGGAATCAACACTAATTCTTTGATTTTAATTAGTTTGATTTACTTTTTATTAATTAAGCATTTTAATTACCAGTTCTAGTTTATTGATTTCCACACCAGTACACATTTAGTATCTAAATTTTACTTCATGTTTCCTAGAAGGTGATATTTAATTTATGTTTTATTTATTTATTTATTTATTTATTTATTTATTTAAGTAAATGCAAATGTATAATTTATCAGAATTCTATTACAAATAGTTCAGTTACCTGAATCGTGTATTATAAAGAGAATTTAAGTCAGTTTGGAGTAAATCTGAAATACTTCGCTACTCAACGCGAAAACCTCGGGGTTTCTTCCGGTTTTATCGCAAAAAATCTTTAAGATTTCAAGGTTGGCAGCTATGTTAACGTAAATTATGTGTATTTCATTCTTGAGGGAGTTGTTTCCCATTTCTTTTAAAATTTTCATATCATTGCAAGTTCGGATTTTTAAACTTGAAAACAACAAGGAGTATAATGAGTATTTTTTTTAATTCTCCTAAATATTAATTTATATTTTAAAATAAAATATTAAATTGATATAATTATTAGCCCAAAGGTGCGTTAGTAGCTCAGAAGGGCTATTAATTTCGTTTTAGCATTTTGCGTCGATTCACTGTAAATGTCCATATCACGTTTCAAACTGTTGCCACCCAATATTGTCGCCCTGTGTTATATTTTAAGAAATTAAATAATCAAGAATCTGCATAAATGTGTGTTTCTCGCACTGTGATAAACTTAGAACCATCGAATTTTGAATAACGTAATCAATCCTCCTCCGAATATGGGCATCTAGAAGCCCAAATTTGGAATTTGTTTTATGATCGATTTCAGATTTTGTAACACCTTAACGAATTTTTGATTAATAAACTCAACGATTTCAAAGCGAGCGATGGCAACACTCAACGGGGCCAAAAAAAAAAAAAAAACTTTTTATCTCCAGCGTGCGGAACTGTGTATCGGAAATTCTAGGATAGATAACTTCTAATATCTAAAAGATAGGCTCATTTTAAAATTATTTTGCGGTATTGCCGTTGAATTGAATTGAATGGTCTAAATGCGAAGAACACGATATTTAATAAATAAAGACCCATTTCCATTTACCGCTGTTATACTGGGCCTAGCCTGCGTGAAATTGCAGGCTTTTTGCCAGTTGTCTTCATATAGGGCATCCTAGAAGTACAGTGGATGGACAAAAATATGGAAACACCTTGTGAAATGCATGTTTGAAAAGAAAGATTGATTTTAATGAAATATGTAGGTGCGCTGGCGTTTTTGACTACTGACGCCACCTATACAACTCTGTAAATGTGCTAAACAGTTCAGCTGTTGTCGGAGTACTGTTATGTGAGGTTGTCATTGCATTATGTCAGAGTTAACAGATTTCGAACGTGGGCAAATTGTTGGAGCACGTATGGTAGGTGCTTCCGTAAGCAAGGTAGCCGAGGTGTTTAGTGTTTCGAGAGGTACTGTATCGAAGATTTATTCGCATATTTGAAAAGTGGAAAAAACATCATCTGCTAAATCACAGCGCGGACGAAAGTGTGTCCTGAGTGATCGTGACAGACGATCATTAAGGGCAATTGTGACGAAAAATAAAAAGACCACAGCTGCAAAAGTTACTGCTGAAATGAATGTTGTGTTACCGAACCTGTGAGTACCAAAACAATTAGAAGGGAGCTTCATAAACAGGGAATTGCTGGCCGTGCTGCAATTGAGAAGCCACTCATCAGTGATGCTAATGCCCGTAACAGGAAAAGGTGGTGTTTAAGTCATAAAGGCCTGGACTATAGAGCAGTGGAAGCGAGTAATATGGTCTGACGAGTCTTCTTTCACATTGTTTCCCACTTCTGGCCGAGTTTACGTCTGGAGAACGCCATCTCAAGCCTATAATACAGACTGCTTGTTGCCAAGAGTGAAACATGGCGGGGGTTCTGTTATGGTTTGGGCAGCCATATCGTGGTTCTCTGCTAGCCCCATGATAACTGTGTCAGGGCACATGACTGCCAAAACTTATGTGAACATTTTGGCCGATCAAGTTCATCCCATGGTACAAACTTTGTTCCCCGATGGTGATGGTGTCTTCCAAGACGACAAAGCCCCTGTTCACACAGCTCACATTGTCCAGGACTGGTTTTCTGAGCACGAGGATGAGTTGTCCCATCTCCCCTGGCCACCACAGTCACCAGACCTGAATATTATCGAACCTTTGTGGTCTACATTGGAACGGAAAGTGCGTTTTCGTTATCCACCGCCAACATCGTTATCTGAACTTGCCACCGTTTTGCAGGAAGAATGGTATAATATTCCCTTGGCAAACATACAGGAACTGTATTTATCCATTCCGAGAAGACTGCAAGCTGTTTTGGATGCCAACGGGTTTCCTACACCATTTTAAGCAAAGAAACATGTTTTTTAAAGGTGTTTCCATATTTTTGTCCAACCCCTGTAAATATACCTGTAAAGATGTCACAGAGACAAGATGTGGCTCATTGCCACTGTAGAAATTTACATCGTGGGGTGGTGTAACATACATTTCAATAGGCACTAAATATAATATGAGTTTAGATACATTAGATAATACTAAAAAACAATTTCAAATGACTAAAAAACATAGTTCCTCAAATAATAAATAAACTCTGTTTTCTATCATGCTCATCGGCAGTCTTCCTGGCGCAGGCGTCGGCATTGTGTAAATGAAGTGATGCAGACTTCCAGACGTTGTATTATGCTTTCGTTTACACTTCAAAACTTCTACGATGTAAAAACCATTGCTATTGTCACCAGTGCAATAAAATTTCGAAATACTTGTCTCTTTTCAGATCCTCGTCTTTGGAAAGAGATGGATGTCGCACACTGGCTGAACTGGGCAACGCGTGAATTTAGTCTCGAAGGAACATCCCTTCCGAATTTCAACATGTCTGGCAAAGAAATGTGTTCCCTTTCGAAGGAAGCATTTCTTGCCAGGTCTCCACCATTCATGGGGGACATCCTTTTCGAACATTTGGACATTTTACAGAAAGGTAAGTTTCCTGCATTAGATCCTACTTAAATCGTGAGTCTACGAGCTTTCTAAGAAGTTACTGAGATTTTCGAAAAGGAGATTCTAAGATTCTTTCTTCTAAGAGATTCTTTCTTCTAAGAGGGCGTTACTTGTTGCGCTAATATATTTTAAGTATTGTTTCCGGTTTGGTTTATTTTATTACAGCGAAACACACGTGGACTATCCTCCTAAGGGGAGGGGTGCCTTCCTGAAGGATTTCTGGTTCATATTCGTATTATACATGGGAAAAACGCGAAAAAGCCCACGCAGCCAACCCGTTGGCCAACTCCGGACCGAACTACCAGTGTTCAGCGATGTTATCGCTCGGCCGCTGGTGGGTTTGTAGAGACATTAGATATTTTTTGAAAGCGGGAGAGATGAAAAATGTTCAGTGCCCTCGCCGGGACTTGGACCTTGGACCTCTCCTATACGCGCCGAGCATGTTGACCACTACACTACGAAGGCATGCTTAGAAGGCGGGAAAAATACCTTATATACTCCCCCTTTTAAAAGGCGACTGTGAATTAGGGAACACAGTCGCCAAACCCTGGTGGTGGAGAATCATCATTCACCCCCTTTTTTAGTTCGGGCACTACTACAGAGACATTAGGGTTTTTGATGCTGAGAAACGTGAAAAATGAGTGATGCCCTCGCCGGGACTCGAACCACGGATCTCTCGAATACGCGCCGAGTTTGCTTCTAATTACACCACGAAGGCATGCTAAGACGGCGGGAGAAATACCTTATAGGCTGAAGTATTGTTTTCGAGTAGATAAAAGTCATGTTTAAATTGCTAGCTTTAACTAATATTGGCAGATTTCAAATAAATTATTAGCTACTAATTAATTAATTATTTAAAAAATATGTTGGTTATCTGCTGGTTATTTTTAAACTGTTGTTTCATTTGCATGACGGTGGCAAAATAAAATAATTCTTCAGTGAAGATTTCATTGCATAAGAGTGTCTAGTGTCGCTGATATAAGAGATTATTCTATATTTCTGTGCTTTATATCTAATTCGTGTAGAATAGGTAGTGTGTCTACATGTTTAGGGCAGAATTTTTCCAACCAGTCTAAGCGAAGTTACGGTACAATAGTGACTACTAACACAGTAGACTACATGGATAGTGACTACTAACACATGCAGTGCTTTAGGATGGAATTTTTTTAACTAATCAGAGCGAAGCTAACATACAAGGAACATAAAAATGGCCATGATCAGTATTTCGGTTAGCTTTCTTAGAAAAGCAGACTAAAGCTTTCTATAAAAGAAAAATAAACATATAAAAGAAAGCTGCCTGTAATACATCACTGATCACAAGTTTCACTGGAATTTTGGTTTGATTTTAGGCAGGTTGTATCTTTGTTGTTTTGATGGATTCAAAGATGAAGCAGCGGGAAATTATAAAGTTCTTTTCGTCTAGTGCATCTAATATCGAAGGATTTATTGCAGCAGTGATCTCCTTATTTTATAGGCTGAATATTAATTGACAAGTTTCTGTCCTCAGCAATGAAATTTCATATTGAGGGGGAACCCAACCATGAGAAGATTTCCGAAAATATGTAACGAAGAAATAAAAGGATATTCCAACAACTGAGTGCTACATAAACTTCCAAAAGCTCTGCAACTACGCCAAGCGTGAAAACCATTAAGAAGAATCTGTTTTTATATACAGTGCACTCCCGATTATCCGCGGAATTGGGTGGCGCGACCGCCGCGGATACCTAAAATCGCGGATAATCCGAAAAAAGCTAAAAACGGATATAGCAAAAGAGAAAACAATTATTCCGACTTTGAAAAAATGTACAATAAAACGTAAGATAAACAGCAGGGAATGTTTAACTAACGCTTAATATTTTAGTATATCACTCAGTACTAACCTAAAATGCATTTTGTTAATGAAAACAGAGAAGTGCTTTGTACTTACGAGAGGCGTCAAGGATACACAGAAAAATTAAAACATATGGACTGTTTTAATACTGTAATATATTATGTAATTACAAAAGCATTAACTGTAAAATCAGTAAGATTAAGTAAGACGTATCAGTAAGATTAAGACGAAAGAGGGCCGTGGAGCGGGCACTGCAAGGGGGTAAGAAATCACTTACACATCAGAGGGAAGGTTCCGAGAAGGCCTGGGATATTTATGCTATAAATAACCGCGATGTTTAGCAAATTTAACGTTTCGCTCAGTTTTGTGTTTTGTGAACATTTTTATTTTCTTTGCTTTACGCTTGTTTAAAAAAAAAAAAAAAAAAAAAAAAAAAACTTTGTGCGGCAGGCGCGGATAATCGGGTGTCTACTGTATAACAATTTGTAAAATTTCCTTCAGATCTGGATTTGTTATGATTTCAGTCTTAATACTTTTGCGGAAACAATATGTATTTCTCTTCCCTCCGAATAAAAAGTATCTACGCCTTTTTGTTATGCTAAGAGGAGTATGCTTTAAATACAACATAAAAATATTTTTGACAGTCACTGCAATAATTATAACTCGAATAGAAGCTTTAATTAAGGATGCTTTTCCGGGGCCCTATAACGATTTCCCTAACAAGACCAATTGGTTTGTATTTTAATTATTGGTGTCCTCAGAAGCTCCACCTCGCCTAGTTTCCTACGCCATTTAGCCGTTCGAATCCCCCCTTCTTTGCAGTAAATTTACAGGATGCATCTTTTCATACACCTGTTCATTTCCGGCTGATCTGATTTCATCGGACGTCACTTCCGGCGTCGGACCTCGCTTTTGAAAGAATTTGCAGGTGCCACCCCCGGCCTGTGGCCTCGGATTTTTTTTTTTTTTTTTTTTTTTTTTTCCCTGAATATATGGCCTGTACCACAATGGAGAGGATATGGAGCAATACAAAGGCCGGGAAGTGACGAAATGTGGTCCAGAAATGCCATTGCACCAGACAATTTATTTATAGATAATAAAACATTTTCCCCCTTTTTATATGTGTAGCAGTCCATGACGTATCCTAACATGTGGATATTAAATTTTAATCATCGTGCTATACATTCGAGCATTACTTATACTGCTAAACAAGATAGTACACGAATGCATGAAATAGAAAGAATTTAAAGAACAAATTTCTGTATCTTTACCAAATTTTGCCTTTAAATTCATTCCTCCACATGATATACTTATTCTCCCAAAAGGGTGTTAGTCTGGAAACGGGATTTTGCGTTGTCCGCTATAAACGGCGAAATCACTTTTCAAATTATTGCCGCCCTGTATTATTTTTAAAGAAATTAAATAATGAAGAAGCTACAGGCATGTATATATATGCTGAAAAAGCTGCGTTGCCTAGAGCCATCAGATTTTAAATAACGTAGTTAGTTCTCCACCCGAAAACGGGCACCTGGAAGTCCGAATTTCGAATTTTATATTTCATGTTTTATAAAATTTTAATGCATTTTTCGTTAAAAAACTCAACGACTTGAAAGCGAGCAGTGGCAACACTGCACGGAATAAAACATTTTATCTTCAGCGCGTGAGACTGTGTATTAGGAAATCGTAAAGTTACGTTGCTTTAAACTTTTTAGTGATTTTGCTGTTGAATTGAATTTTACAGGGCGTAACTGAGCAAAGAACAACACCCGATAATTAAATGAACCGGAAAAATGCCTGAAGGGAACAAACACCAAACGTTAAATTTAAAAACTGCGCAGAATTTTTACAGAACAAATTCATCAAAAAAAAAAAAGTATTACATATAACAAAATTATAATGAAATAAGCAATATCCCTTAATACAAACTTTAACTATCCTAATAAATAAATTAATCAACTTCCCTTTGCCTTTTCTCGACAAACGTCCAGTATCCAAGAGAAACATTCAGTTTGAAAACTGCACAGAATGATCGCCTTAATTTTTCCAAGTGGCAACAGTGCTGATTTTCAACAGTCAGCAGTCCAGTATACAATTGTAGGAAAAACTGTTGCCAAAACCACATTTCTAAAAGAATGAAATTATTCAGAATGATGCGATAAAATCGAAAGGATAAAATAAAAAAAAATATCTGATTCGAATTTTGAAAAAGTCGCTTCGAAGTGCACTGGCTCTTGTCTAGATGCACCTATATACCAAATTTCGTAGCCCTGGGTCTATTAGCTTACGCGCAACACGAGCGAAAGACACACACAGTTTTTCTTTTATTATATGTAGAGATTTTTGTATACTTTTATAATTTCATCGTTAGTATATTCGCTATGTCGTCTTATCTGTGGCGAAAATACCACACAGATATACAGCTGAGGAGATCTACAAAATATTATAGATATTTCAATAACAGCAGGATTAGCTGTTAGGATTGTTTAACCCTTTCCGGCACGCTACCTTTTAAAGTTGAAGTTTTTATTAAAAAAAAAAAAAAAAAAAGTAGGCAGTCTCATTAGGCCTAGAAGAGTACACAAGCAAAATTTTGTGAAGATAACCTTTATCGTTTTAATCCTGTGGGTGTGCCCAAAGTGGGCACAGTGATTGAATAGAGGTTCGAAAAGAGTGCTAAAACTAGCATTGTTGTCGATGAACTGACCGATGAGATGCGGAGAAACAAAGAATACAGACACTCCGTTGTCCTAGATGATCGGTGAGCCCGGTCCGGGCACACCTAGGGTTCCCCGTTTGATTTTAGGCAAGATTTCAAGGTAAAAATTTAAAACTAATATAGAATAAGGAGATTAGCATACAGCCAAAAAATAACAAAGAAATTTCTTTTCAAACAATTCATTTTAATACCCCCAAAAAATCTGGAAGATTTCTTTGAAAAATGAGGGTCTTAAAAAACTAAGCATGGCTAAAATATATGGACTGGTTTGTGTTGAGCTGCCATCTACTATAAATAAAGAAGTTTCAGAGTAACCTATAAATCCTTTTTCTTTCAATTTTTCTGTGCGTACAGAAGGAAATTTTTAGGTGTGTCCAGACCGGACACACTGTGCCGCAAATGGTAAAACCAGCTTAAAATTTCGTTCTTTATCAGATATGGCTGTCACGACATTTACTTCTTTTCGTAGATTTTCATTGCTGATAAATGACATCACAAGTCGCTCAAAACGGAGTCAAAAATGTTAACTGGGTATATTTATACAGGCATACCTCAAGAACCAATTCGTTTCTAATTCGCCGAAACAAAGCTAGTTACTTAGAATTAAAAAAAAAAAAAAAAAAAAAAAAAAAAAAAATTTTTTTACTCTGTACCAGAAAGGCGTATCTCTTTTTCATAAAGTATCTGTCGCTAGTCTATTTTTAATTCCTTTACATTGGCATTCACATTTCAATTTACGCTTTAATGTAAGTGGATTAGTTTTTTCTCTTCTTCTGTCATCTGGTGTCTACCTATACATACAGGTGTTGTTTTAATTGTAGGCTAAATACATGTAAAATGTAAATTAAATTTCGCCTTTTTTAAGATTTAAATAATAATTAGAACATTAGCTCACTGAACTTAATCTAAGATTGCCTTTTAACTTTCGATCCATAGAAAAGCATTTGCAGTCCTTAAAGTATTTGTTTTTCGTATCATATTTAAATTTCATTTTACTTTCAAAGAGGGTGTAGTTGATAAACATATTCCGAATTTCGGAAACTGACTGACGATTCCGGCCATTCCGATGAGTGTGATAAAAGAGCAAAGTGGCAGTTTTGCCATATTTAAATTGTTTCTTTGCATGTCAAAACTGTACTTTTAATCGACACAAAATAAAATGGGGCAAATCTGTATATATGTTCCCGTGAAACACCGAAATCTGGGGAATGTCGACTTTCACCGGTGAATGTCAACATTCACATAGTCTCTTGGTGTATGTCCGAAATATTTCTGACTTACACCGGTCAATGTCGACATTCACCATGTACTAATGGCGAATGTTAAACATATAACAATATTATATTTTCTTCTCCGTCATTCAGTCGCGAATAAACGCACTTGAAACTTGAAATAAGAACTTAAGAACATGAGAACCTAAAACACACAATACATTCAAAATGAGAAAGGAAAATAATAGAAGTTAAAAACTTACTTAATTATACAGTACGTTCTAAATGAGAAAATAAAATAACAGTCATAAAAAACTTACTAAATTATGTGATTCAAATCTTATTTATTGCAACAACTTAAACTATTATGGCACTTTAAAACCTCTCTTTTCGACTTTCACAAGAGCATATCTGTGATTGTCGACGTATACCGGTGAGGGTCCGAATATACAAGAATGTAGTGAAATAAATATTCGGTCTTTCACCGACGTATTTGGTGAATGTTGATATTCTCCGGTGAAAGTCGACATTCTCCAATTTAGGTCTTTCACGGTAACGGATATAAAAGGAAGAGTCTGTCTGTGTGTGTCTTTCGTCGTGCTGCGAAATTTGGTACATAGGGTGCTTCTAGACAAGAGCCAGTGCACCTCAAAGCGATGTTTTTCTCCAAAACTCGAATTTTTTTTTTTTTTTTTTGTTAATTTTATGTTTTTTGGTAAAATTGCATCCGTTGTTGATGATATAATATTGCAAAGGATTTTTTTTAAACGTTTTGTGTGTTACCTTTATTTATTAAATATCATGTTCTTCGCACTTAAACCATAAAATTCCAACAGCAATATCAGAACATAATTTAAAAAGAGCATATCTTTAGAATTTCCGATACACAGTCTCGCGCGCTGGTGATAAAAATGTTCTTTTTTTTCCCCCGTGCGGTGCCATTGCTCGGTTTGAAATCGTCATGTTTGTTAATAAAAAATTCTTTAAAGTGTTACAAAATATGGAATAGGTAATAAAACAAATTCTAAATTTTGGCTTTCAGATGCCCATAATGGGGTCGAGGATTACGTTATTGAAAATTCGATTACTGTAAATATCGTCATTTTATCACAATGCGAGAAAGATGCATACATTTATGCAGATTCTTCATTATTTAATTTCTTTAAATATAAATACAGGGCTATAATATTTGCTGCCAAAAATCTGAAAAGGGAACCGACATTTATAGTGAACCAATGGAAAATGCCAAAACGAAATTAATAGTCCTTCTGGGCAGATTGCCCCTTTGGCCTAAAAAACGGTGAATTTTATTTGGACCGAACCTAAATTTCGAAATATGAAAGGAAGAATAAATTTAATAAAAAAGACATAATTAATAAATATATATGAAACTCAATCAACAATGAGGAGCTAATTTTTTTAAAAACTACGCATGCGATTTTTACAAAACTTGTCAGTTTGGTATAATTTGAGTCGTAGAATCGAAATCTGGGGGGGGGGAGGAATGGCATGTGATTTCAAAAAAAGTCCAGTTTTGTGTCGAAATACCTATTAGAACAATATCAAATATAAATCGGCCCAGTAAAACGGGAGATATAGAACTGTCCGCCTTTTGTTTCGTATTGTACTTTGTCTATGTAAATAAACCTAGAGTTATATATCCCTTTGAAAATTACAATCATCTCCATACATAAGCTACTTGATTTGTTAAGAAAATCCGTAAGTAGGTTCTTCATTATAAAATTTGGGACGCTATTTCATTCTGGAGTTAAGAATCTTAGAACTTAGGGAATGGTAATGTAATGATAAATAGACTTAAAATTTCACAAAGCAATTTTACACAGCCTGCAGTATTTAAAATTGGGCAAAAAAGCTACCTTAGTTTTAATAAAAATCCTAGTGCTTTTGAGGGGTTAAGACTGAGGTTTCTCTTCTTCAGCAAAAAAATAAATTTTTTTTTGCTTCCAGGAAGGGATTTCCATCTGTCCTGAAGAAGAGGGATTGCCTTCGAAACCAACTGTTTCAGTCAAAGTCTACTCCAAGCTACTTTTTGCCTAATTTTGAATTTTATATTGTTGGGTTTGTTTTCCGATATAAGCCATTAGTACATTTAAGTCGATGATAGAAAGAAAATTAATATTAATTAAATATTCTTTTATGTTTTATAAGTGCGAAGCTTTTCCTAGAGAAAAGAACATCTTTCTGATACAGAATTCGGCGAGAAATAAATTAAAATTAGTAATACTTTTTTCACCGTCATATGATTTTCCAAAATGGGGAAGATTTCGACCAGCTTTATAGCGACATAACATTTTTACCGTGGCCGGTTTTATTATTCATTACGTTTAATTGCATATCCAACTTTTTCTGTTGCAAAAGTGCCCCAAAAGTTCAACTCGTTACCGCTCATCCGAAATGGCTGTCCTCGATTGTCCTATATACAAATTTCGATGTCCATTTCATTACGATGCTACATCTCCCGCCTTCTTTTGATCAACAGCCCATGACAACACCCCCGATGCCCATACACACCTATATGCATGTACGCAACCACCCGCAGTTCCTCCCTTCATTGGTCGAGAAAGGGATTCTGTCGGACATGATCCCGTGTCCTCTGCACACATCCCAGCATCCAGCCCGTACACATCTTTTAAGCCATTTGTTTTAATTCTTTGTTTGTGCTAACAGTCGTTTCTGGAAACAGAGCTGTCTTTGTAAGTATCCACTTATTAGGATTAATCCGTTATTGAACAACTGCTTGTTTTCTGTAATTTATTAAGGAAAGTTATAGTTTAATATTCATATAGTCCGCTTTGGCTTTTTGGTGATGGCTTGTTGTAGAATCTACTGTTTGTTTTGAACATAATCACCAGCAAATGATGCGGTATGTTTCTAATGAACTGTCAGATAATTGCATACTGTTTCATATATACACACACACAAAATTTAAGGAATGACGCACTTAAGATATACTTAAACTGCACGGAATTCTAGTGTGTCGAACAAATTTAAAAATAGGCTTAACAATCGGAACAGAAACGCTAGTAAAAGTTATTTTGAGCGGAGCAGAATAAAAGTATTAAAATGTTTTATGTTTTACCGTATTTATTCTAATTCTCTTCGTTTTTTCCTGCCGTATTTTTGGTTATAAAATTTCGTAGGTTTTAAAATCGAAGCATTTTGGTAAAAGACATTGCAGGATTGAGAGGAAGGAGTTTAATTGTCTTGCCAATATAGGTAATTCCGCTGTTTAAATAATAATAAACCATGCAGGTAATTAGCGTGTATATAAACTACATAACTATCGCTAATTGTAATAGCCACATCTAGCTGAGCAATTTTAACTTAGTCCTGCATCCTCTATACTATTAGTAGTACGCCTGAAAACAAATAAGTAGCAAAATATCGCAGACTTTTCTTCCTACACAATGGTTATATTTAACCCATAATAGCATATAATATATACCTAAATAAGCATAATATATAAGCATTGTATATATGTAGCTTAGCTTTCAAATCAAGAGTCATATGGATTCTAATCGGAACCGTATTCTAATCAAATACTCACGTGTATTTGTATTTCATAAAAATTTACCCAAAAATGTATTCTAAATGTCGTATATTCGAAGTAGTCTTATTATCAAATAAATACGATACATTCCGAAGATATTCTATATAAATATTAAGGAAATTCACTTACCTTTAACCAAAATATTATACGTATTTCCTTAGTCGTGTTGTGTTTGGATATTCATTTTCAAATGCGATTGGTATCAAATTGTAACGCACAAACTATAGATTCCATTTTACTTTATACGTGTGATTCAGCTTCTGCTGTTTCTTTTTTACGAGAATGCCGTCCACACACTACTTTATCCAGAACTGTCTCAGCATTATTTTATAACATGTGTAGGATATTGGAAGATATCATACTGCCTTCTATGCCTGAAAGATGTGCATTACAGTAATTAATAGGATCACTCAATCTTTAATTTTTTATGCACAAGATAATGAAACTTCTTTTACTGGTGCATCCACATTTAGTGCAAGTTGATTCTGCTGAGGATCGGAAAATACCAGGTTGTAATTATCCAAACATGTGGAATGGGTATTATACAAATTGATAAAACTTGCTTTTTGGCCACAAGATGATGAATTTTTCGATAACATGTTTATGAAACCGTTGTCGCACCAGGCATAGAAATGGCGCCACTGAAATGCACCTGTACTTTCAGTAGATTTAGCTTTTAAATCGGGAGTATCTTTCAACGACTTCATATAGCAGGTATTTATCTCGTTGGTATCTTTACAGAAGTATATCTGTGGCAATCGTTAATCTTCTTGGTACAGAACCGCTTTAAATGCTGCTATCATCATGGACCACCTGCTGCTCGGCAAATAGCACTTTCCCCATCAAGAAGCATAACGAATTTTGCAGATATTACATCGTCTCTTAACATTTTCGACATTTTGACGTAGTCCTTACCGTCGCCGTGATTTTGGGAGTTGGTAAGTTAAGAATTTTTGAATCTGTGACTCACGATGCTCTGGAGCTTGTAGTTTATTCGGCAAGTGCTTCCTATGTCGTTTTAGGTGCTGTCCTATACTGGAAGTACTGTCCGGGATGCTATCGCTTTTTTGATTTTGGGTAAAAAAAGGCTGGAATTGGATGTAGGGATTTTAGCTTTGTCGGTATTGACTAAGCACCTCTTCCTTCCTCAGGATGTAGGATGTCGGAGGATACATGAAAAGCACTTTTTTGAATTCCCGATTGTGGCTATCTTCGGCATCCGGCGATGCCCGTTTCCTTCCCATTCCATTCTTCTGTTTCGGTCTGAGGAAGGATATGAAAGACAATTGAGCGACGTGTTTGTAGGGAATATGGAATTGAATCAATTGTATGTGATAGTTTTTCATGTGGTATACCAGCCAAGGATGTTGTAAATTTTCATTTAATATGATGGTACTTAGGAAGAAATCACTTTGCCTTCCTGATGAAAATTTATTAATTTTTTCATGTGAAAGTTGTATTATTTTTTTCATTTGGAGAGGGGGGAAGATCGAGGCATGGCGAAATTATTTGATCGTAATTTCGTTGGCATGCACATGTAATTAATGGAATTTTGTTGGCAATAGAATTTGCCAACTTTTATTTTAACAACAAAAACAACGTATTGTTTGTTGTAACTATGTGACCAACAAAAACGTTTATTTATTTAAATTTCTAGAACTTATTTATTCATTTTATTTTATTTTTATATATTTGATGCTAATTTTTGCACTTAATATTTCTGGGTAACGCTTTCAGGCATTTCAGAACCAAATTTGAAATATGCAGGAAATTTATTTGATTGATCCGCATATTATTTGAAGCACAGTAGATAATAACGTTAAATGATGTTTACGGGATCAATTTTAGGCAATGCATTTTGAGAAATGAAAGTTGTTTCTTTTATTTCGTTTGAATTTCTCAGTTGATGGGTGGAAATGTGGAGGATATCTGATTTTTGTTTTTGTAAAGCAGCTAATGTAAATTTTTTTTTTTTTTTTTTTTTTTTTTTTTTTTTTTTTTTTTTTTTTTTTGTTTTTTTTTTTTTTTTTTTTTTTTTTTTTTTTTTTTTTTTTTTTTTTTATTTTTTTTTTTTTTGTTTTTTTTTTTTTTTTTTTGATTGAACAAAACATAGCCGATGAAAGTCCGTTAAAATATTTCCTTATTTATAAATGTACTGTGTTTTATGTTTTGCATTACGTATTTATTTATTTCAAATCCTGATGCTTTGATTTTCAAATTATTTCCTATCGTTCTTCTAATGCTTATTTCCTAAATAAATATACACATTATAAATTTAAATTTAAACAAATTTAAATTCTAAACAAATTTGTATAAAAGTAAAAAAGTAGAAAAGCAAATTTAAATTCTAAAAAAAGGAAAAAAGCCAAAATAATTTAAAATAATTTAAAAATATGCAAACATGTAAAAGATTTAATTCTCGAACTAATCTACAATATCATTTAAATTCAGAAGCATAAGCAAATCAAGTGTAAAATCTATCCATGAAAATAATGCATATGGGAATGAATGAAATGTTAATACTTAAATGTTAATTTCTAAGGGTACCACTTTATTGGAATTACTTTTGGTTTTGACTTTTACCCTTGCCTGCATGAATGAGGAAACACGAATTGAATGGTTGGAGAGTTAGGTTTGGAGGCAACTTCCCCTCGATAAGTCTTGTCTCCTGCCTACTCTACGATCATTCACATATGCATTTTTTAAAAAAATTGTTTAATTTTTAATTTAATTATTAAATTAGTAGATTTATTTTCATGGATAGATTTTTACACTTGATTTGCTTATGCTTCTGAATTTAAATGATATTGTAGATTAGTTCCAGAATTAAATCTTTTACATGTTGCATATTTTTATATTATTTTGGCTTTTTTCCTTTTTTTTTTTAGAATTTAAATTTGCTTTTCTACTTTTTTTTTACTTTTTTTATACGTATTTGTTAGATTTAAATTTTTTAAATTTGTTTAAATTTAAATTCATTCTTGCCAGCAATGGCGCAAAGAATATTTAATTAAATATGTATTTAAATTTAATTTTTCTAATTAACTCAATTTATTCTTTTGAAACAATGTTTATACTCATAAGATATTTTCTGCCTCTTTTTTGTATGCCTTCGTGGTGTAACGATAGCATACTCGGCGCGTATTCGAGAGGTCCAGGTTCGAGTTCCAGCGAGAGCACTGCTCATTTTTCGCGTCTCCTGCGTCAAAATAACGTAATGACTCTACAGTTGCGCCTGAACTAAAAAGATACTGGGTGATGATTCTTGACTACGAGGATTTGGCGATTGGGTCCCCTGATACCAGTCGCTCTTTAAAAGGGGGGAGTATCTAAGGTATTTTCTCCTTCCTTTCCGCATGCCTTCGTGGTGTAACGGTAGCACACTCGGCGCGTATTTGAGAGGTCCTGGTTCGAGTCCCAGCTCATTTTTCTCGTCCTCTGCTTCAAAAAATCCTGATGATCCTACAACATTAACATTATCAAACGGTTATATTCGGTTCTCAGCTATATTCGATTTTATTTGCCACCAGATTTGATGTTTACGACTAGGCCTGACGTAGCTGATTGTTTTTCTGTTCCGAATTAGTTTAAAACTGAAGTTAGTCCTTGTTCCCCGCATATTTTTCCAAAAGCTATGCACTTTAATTCTAGATAGTTATAATTGTTTTTCCTTCCTTATTCTAACTAATTATAATTGATTTTATTCATTTCTAAATAATACGAAGTATTTATTTAATGCATTATTACTAAGGAATATTTATAAAGGATATTTATCACTTAATTATCAGGAATATTTATCAATATTTATCACTTTGAGGTAAAAACTGTGCTCGGAAGTTCACTGTTCACTTATACGTAAACTTATACGAAACTGTTCACTTATACGTAAGGAATATTTATCACTTATATGAGGAAATTTTAATTTGGTTCCAGTCGCAAATGAATAAGACCACTGAATAATGGAATTCCATTTCGTTTCAATCACGGAGCCTGAATACGTTAACCGTATGGGGTTTATTAGTTTTTTCCAGTTGTCACATGAACGTAAGACAGTTTAACTTAAGCTCTCCAAAATTCTAAGGCTGACATCCGGGAAGTGATGTAATATATGATATGTTAGTAATATGATATCGTACGCTAGCCTTTACTTGTAAGACTAGCATAAATAAACTTGAGCAACTGAAGCAATATATTACTTAGAATGAGCAATGGTTAATTGTTGACGCATAAAATTGTATATATATATATCTTAAATATGTAAATATTGTACATACCTTATATGTAAATTCTGTATGTACCTTATTTTACGTTCTGTGGTTGCGTTTTAAAAAAGTACAGAGGATCTTCTGTTCTCTGCAACTTCCTTCTTCCAATTTTTAACAGTAACCAGTGTTTCTGAGAACATAAATAAATTGTAACGCACATGTACAGAGACCTCAGGTATTAGGCCTACCAGCGGCCGAGCGGTAAAGTCGCTGAACACTGGTAGTTCGGTCCGAGGTTCGAATCCCGCGAATGGGCTGGCTGCATGTGTGTTGTGTGTAACGTGTATACGAGCCAGTTTCCCTTAGAAAGTCCTCCACAAAAGCATCCCTCCCCTTAGGCAGATAGCCCCCGTGTCTTTGCCGTAATTAAATAACCTAACCTAACCTAACCTAACCTCAGGTATTTTTGAAGTAGGAAATACGAAAAATGAGCTGCGCCCTCGCCGGGACGCGAACCTGGACCTTTCGAATACGCGCCGAGTGAGCTAACTGTTAGACAACGAAGGCATGCTGAAAGGAGAGAGAAAATATCTTATAAACATCATCTCTCTTACACGACGACTACCCTCCATAAAAGACTCCAAATCATTTAAAACCGTATGTGGTGGTCTTAAAAGGTTTCACTCTCAAGACAGTTTTAACTACTTAATGATATATGTGTATTTGATATTTTTTTGGTACATCTGGTAATTCATTTTCAACAAAGTTGATTTGACGTGATCAACGCTTTAATTGCTTTGACCATGCGATTTGCTGAATATTCGGTCCTTTTAACATTCATTCCGCTTTTGATTCTGTTTAGGCAGCAGAACAGACTAATCAGAATCTAATCATAGCCGCTCAGCCAGAAAAGTGGTTAGTGATGCTGACTGCCATACCCGGTTCGAAACCTGCTGAAGGCACGGATGTAATTTGTCCGTTCCCTTCATCGGATGCAATGATGGCCCACCTGTTAGGCGCCTCCATAATTAAGAGTAGTGGCCGACGCTTACAAACGGGTAGAGCCGCCGTTCTTGAGTGAGGGGATTAAACATTCGTTATCTTATCTTGTAGTATATTTTAACAGAAATGGTCAGTCGAAAAACAAATTTTTGATTGTTTGCTAATTTGTTTTATTAGCGCTGTGATATTATGATAGACATTTGTTTTTTGTATGCTTTCTAAGAGTACTTGGATATGTTTTTTTATGTTCCACTTTTCTTTTCAGACGTGGAAAAGGAGGACCATCCGAACCTGGAGAACGTTCCCGCTAATTTGTACGAATCTGTATGCATGCCTGATTTCAACGAGTTTTTCCAACAGGGGGAAAACAATTTTCCCCTTCCAGACCAGAAGAATAACGCCACGACTATGAACAATACCGGCAACCAGCAGCAATACATGGACAGTAAGTAGGTCCATGATTATTCCTAATTTCTGAGAAACGATTCGGTAGCCATCGTCTTTATTCTTCCGAGCACACAGTTTTTTGAAAGTACACCTCGAAATTGTTCTCCGCAAATGGCTGATCTTTCTGCGGAGATAAAGCAAAATTGTTGTTGGGAAGACCATAAAGTTGTCATCTTTGATTTGATTGTTTCGTGAGTTATCTGCTAATATCGGGCATTGTCTTTGGCTAGGATCATAAATTATGTTTTTTTTTCTTATATATCTATTATTTTCTTTTCCATGCTTTATCCACTGGGAGTATACATGTGTATAGTGATGAGTCGGTACTACCGAACCGGGTATTTTGTAACGGGTACTTTGTTGTAACGGGTACTGAAAATCCGTTTATCCAAGTACCCGTTACTTCTGTACCGAAATGGGTACTTTTCGGTATTCGTTACTTCTGTACCGAAACGCGCACTTTTCGGTATGCGTTACTTCTGTACCGAAACGGGTGCTTTTCGGTATTCGCTACTTTGTAACGAAATATGCGTCTCTTCTCCGGTATTTCGGTATTCGTTACTGGAGGATCGAGAGGGTTCAGCTCACTTCGGTTTTGGTACGAGGACAGTAGTATCTGGTTGTATTTGCGAAAATGGGATATGCGCTTCTTGTGTCCATGAATGGCTGCTCCTCAGACACTTCCGTAGTTGACATGTTTTCGATATTCAAATCTTACTCCCTACAGATAAATCAAACAGGTGACGTGGCGAGTCTCAGTGCGCAAAAATCGTTAGCTGCGTATTTCGGTACTCCAAATCGTTACTGGGGCACTTCGTACTCAACTCATAACTTCTTTGGTACTCCACATCGTTGCTAGGGTACTACGGTATTTCGTTACTTCGGTGCTCCAAATCGTTACTTGGGTACTCGGTACTTGAAATCGGTTTTCGGTACATTTCAAAGTAACGGTTACTTGAGTAACGGGTATTTTGTACCGGGTACTTGTCTGTACTCGTTACTCTCGTACCGGGTACAAGAAAGTACCGAAGTTGGCCATCACTACATGTGTAGAGGTGCATTTAAGTTATTTGGAATTCTAAATTGCGATATCGTATGGTTTCTGACATTACAGATTAATGTGCGTTAAATATTTTAGTAAATGCTTTGTATGGATGTTTTTTTTTTATTTTATGTAAATGTAGTGCGGAGAAAGGTTCCACGACTAAACTAATGCCATGCTAAAAATGAAGTTTCTAATATTTACTTGTATAAAGAAATATATGACTGAGACTAATATCAAAATTGGTACTTAAGATGTGTACTTAAAAATACAACAGCTTTGAAAGAGGATATTTTGATATCAAGAAAAATTTATGAAAGTCTAAAAGATTATTTTATTCAGATGTTAAGTTGTTCAATTAGAAGAGTATTTTTCGCTGTTTAAAAAAATTGGAGAGAACTTTGTTATATTGAATTAGCGGTAGTCGGAGTAACATAAAGCAGTCTTATATGCATACGACGTCAAAAACTTTATAGTCCAAAGGGATTTGAATCCCGAAGGACTATTAGTTTCGTTTTGGCATTTTGCCTCGGATTCATAAATGTCGGTTCACTTCTCAAACTGTTGCCACAAAATGTTAGAGTCCTGCATTATATTTGAAGAAATTAAATAATGAAAATCTGCATAAATGTATGTATATTTCTCGTATTGTGATAAAACAACGGTACATAGAGTCATCGAATTTTGAATAACGTAATCCTCCAACGAATATGAGCATGTGGAAGACCCAATTTGAAATTTGAAATTTGTTTTATGATCGATTTCCTATTTTTTAAAACTTTGACGAATTTTTGATTAAAACTCAAGGATTTCAAAGCGAGCAATGGCAACGTTTTGCAGAAAAAACATTTTTATCTCCAGCGCGTGAGTCTCTGTATCGGAAATTCTAAAGATATGCTCGTTTTAAAACTATTTTTGCGATATGCTGTTGCACTGGATCTTATGGTTTAAGTGCGAGGAACATGATATTTAATAAAGAAAGGTAAACACACAAAAATGTTAAAAAACGCCCCTTTGGACGTAATTTAAAATCTGAAGTTTTCATACACAGGAGTTCGATTTTCAAGTAATTGGATTATAGGTGAATTGCAGATTATATATATATATAAATATATTGTTGGGCGCAAGTTTTACGTTACTTGAGGTTTTATAATTTACCATTTGTAATGAGTGTCACTTAAATCGTCCGTTTAACATTAAGAATAAACGTTCTTATGTTAAGAAGTTTTTCACTCAATTCCAGCTTAGTGCGAAAAAATAGCTAGCTGTAATTATTGCGTAACACATGCCAACTTGCTTTCGTAAATATTATTCGCTTATTTTACGCAAAAGTTTAAGCCTAATTTTTTATTTATTTACGCATTATTATTATATTTGCTGTTTTAGATTCAAAGACGAACCAATGGAAAGCAACATTTTTACTTTCTTATAGCAATTAAAGGCAGTATTGCGATCGCAATAATTTCATGTGTATTTCAACAAAAATATCCACTTTGACCGCTCTGGAATCCATTTGAACGATGTTTTTGCCTAACATTTTTACGTGCGGACAGATTAAAAAGCTCTTTCTTCAAAAACGAATAGTAAAATATATTTAAAATTCCTTCAGAATTTTTGTTTTCCCCCTTGGTACCGTCTGTACGTACGCACATACGTATGTATCTCGCATAACTGAAAAAGAACGTTGAAATTTAGTATGTTGCATTAAATTAAAAGTATTCATTAAAAGTGATTGAATTATGTTGTTCTTGTGTTCCGGTTGAGGTTTTTATGCCTTTAGTTGATCTGCATGCAATAGATGTAGAATTATCAACAATTTAAAAGTTGTTTGAGAGGTACTAAACCTAACAAAGCCGCCATTTGTTTACATTTGAAACTCTTAGTAGAATAGTGAATTATGCCAGTGCACCAACTTCAGCGTGTTTTTGCTGAACGTGGCCAAAAGTTAACTTTCAATTTTGTGAACCGAAATTTTTGTCTTCCTGCCCCCGACCGAATTTCATGTTTTTGCATAGAAACTCAAATTTTAATTGTGAAAATTGTTTTTTTTTAACCTTTTTAACTATATTTCGTGGGGTTTTTTTATATTAATTTACAGTTTTTAATGAAGACTGAGTTTTTATGTATTTTTGCCCTGCCGCGAAGTGAGAACCGAATTGATTGAATTAGGAATATATCTCTATATCCTAATTCTCTATATCTAATGAGAACCGAATTGATTGAATTAGGAATATCTAATTAGGAATATATCTATATATATTGAATTAGGAATATATCTAACGAAATTCGAGGAAATAAGTTTAACAGAAGCGCTGCAAAAAATGTGCATAATTTAATAGACTGTACAAAGAAGTCATGTTGTGCCTCCGACTGATATTTTTTCTCACAGTGTTGTTTCTTAGATCAGTTTATAGTAAATAAAAATGTAATCCTTTTTCATAATTAGCTTTATTTGCTGGATTTGTCTCTGACCTCTTAATTATACCTTGTTCTCAAAAATGAAACATCATCATTCCATTTCAAAACATTTCAGAACTCGGAAAAACGCTACCAAGAAATACGAGAGTATTTTGACACCTGCCTTCTACGAAAGCATCTCGGGTGCTTCTTTCAAATCTCCTATTTTTCATTAATTCAGCCAATCTTTTTCATCAAAACATACTGCACGTATAGTACAAATATGTAGTAATATAACTAGTACATGTGTGTAACTATGAAAAAGTGTATTCCTAAACAAATAGATTCGCATTGAAAATTGCATCGAACGGAATAGGTTTGAGCAATATTGCTTCAAAGCTGCTGTCTTGTTCATGTATCGCTCAACCATATATCCGCAACACGCGAGGTATATTGTGCATCTTTCAAATACAGAATAAATTAGGTGTAATATTTTGACTTGCATTTTAAAAGGATCATTAAGTGCACAGATCCTTTTCAAAACTTCTGATTTAACGGCTGTTTTCTTCTTCCAGTGTATACCACTTCGGAGATTGCATTCGCGTGCAAACTGTTGATTTTTTTTCTTCCCCCCCCCACTTTTCGATTTCTCCTCAAAAAGGAAAAGTCAGTTCACCCACCATATGCTTGCTTTACCTACAAATCTTTCGGTTCCCTACTTTGTATACCCCTCTGCTTCCTGTCTGCCCCCATCAAATCGCTGCTCCAGGCGCTCATTCACGGGATTTTGGGTGCACCGTTTGCAGAGTGTTATGTTCACTCATTCATAAATTTCCGGTTTGGTGTCTCCACACCCCCTCTTTCTTCAGTTTCTACCGCAGATTCTGGCTTTACATACTGATGGAATGGACCACATCTTTGGGGAAGTGTAAAAAAAAAAAAAAAAAAAAAAAAAAAAAAAAAAGCTAGTAGAAAAGATAGCAATGGAATGGACTTATCTCATTCTTCTCTTCTTCCGAAGATATTGTTTGTTTGTCACTGGGACTTTATAGGGGTTTATGTTTATTATCCATCTTATTTTGCCTATAACTCAACTTTCGTCAGTTATCGCAAGGGGACAGATTGGTTATACAAGTGTGAGCTTTTTTGGCGACCTCTGACCTTCTCAGTACTATCGCCCAACTTTTAAATTTACACAAAAGGGTTGTTCTAGACTTCCGTGTTTACTCACGTGAGTCGAGGGCTTGAACCAAATTTGACAGATGTACTTTCCCTTGTTGAATGTCCTATTTAAATTATTTAAGTTTTACTTTTGTGTTCTTTAAATCTGAATCTCGCAAAAAGCGGTGACGCGTTCTGTTATTACAAGAGCAGTGTGATCTGTTAAACTGAAGCACTGATAAAAGGGTTTGTTTCAACTGAAGCACTGATAAAAAGAGTTTGTTTGGTTTCTGTGCCTGGTTCATTATTGCGATGAATTACGTGACTGTCTACTCGAGGCCAGAGATTAGCCTATAAATCAGATAGGTTCCGTGCGATCTGTTATTAGATCTTTCTATGCTGGAATCTTTTACCACTTGTTAAATAAGACACCTTATTGTTAGTGCTATTAGTAAGAAGATTATGGAAGTTCAGTATTCTAAATTGATAAATCATGGCTAAAAATAAGGGATCCTCTGGTTTTCTCGGTTTATAATCTGTTCCTGACTTTTGCTTCAAGGAAATGGAAAGGGACCCGGAAAAAATATTAGTGACAAACAAACAAGTGATAATTCGGTCTACGTAATTGCTGTCTCTTTGAAATGAAAATCCTGAGGGACTTGAAAAAGCTAGGAGCTCTGAACCCTAACATTTTGTTGATGCTGTTAACAGAACATTTAAAATTTTCATTGCTGATCGTAAAATGAGAATAACTTATTTTGTTGCCATTGTGGTCATTTGGGGAGGGAACTGCAGCTGTATCGTGCAAAGCAAATTATTCTAACTTCTTTTGGTGAAATTGATGCTTATGTCTAGAAATGGTCGGTTCGCTTGCTACCGTCCCGTCGATAATTTTCAGGACAGGTGTTGTCTGCTATCTCAACATCAGTTTTAATAATTTATGCTGCAGCAGTGAGGATGCTTTGGGGCACAAGTCCGTACTATTTGATTTGGATCGTCGTTTATTATTTTAATATATCCCGGTCCAATAAATCCTTAGAAATGAAATCACTATGAATCAGTTTTAATACTTCTGTTTTCTCCCCTTCCACTGAAAGATTTATTTCTGTGACTCTTCCATCCCCGCGGGTATCCACTGGGGGCAACCTTCGGCGTTCTGGATAAAATCTGTATTTAGATAGACTCGGCTCCTGGGGTAAATAGATTGCCTTCACCGGACTAGAACCACCGATCCTTCGGTGGCTTGGCAGGACTGGTATTGTCAAGCATGATTTGAAAGCTATGTTGTTGCTGTATGTTTGATATTGGAAAATGATCCTCGGGGAATTAGCCCTCATTGGTCAAAACTGGGGGACAGACGTTGTGGTCTTCGTGGTCCTGGTTGTCTTTGTCTTGCATTATTTGATTTTTGACTTTATTCTTATTTTTCGTCTGGGATTGGCACCGCATTGGTCAAAACTGGGGGACAGACGTTTTGGTCTTCGTGGTCCTGGTTGTCTTTGTCTTGGGATTATTTGATTTTTTACTTTATTCTTATTTGTCATCTGGCACCTCATTGGTCAAAACTTTGGGACAGACGTTGTGGTCTTCGTGCTCCTGGTTCTTTGTCTTGCGATTATTTGATTTTTGACTTTATTCTTATTTGTCGTCTGGGATTGGCACCACGGAGGCACCACCACCCACGGGTGGTGCCTCCGTGGGTCGCCTCTAGAGGTTGAGGCGTCGATACCATATTAAGGGCTTTTAACGACCTATGTGAGGGAGTCTCTTCTCTCTAGTATGCTGTGACTCTTTCGAGGTTCAACTTCTGTCTAACTTCAAAACTTTTGTGAAACAGACATTTTTTGAAAAATTAATTTGTAGTGGCAGACGTACTCAAGCTTCAAACCTGATCCTTGTTATCATTTTATACGTAAAATTAAGAAATTTCCATTAAAAGTTATGATTTGGAAACAAAGTAAATGTCCCCTGTTCCTCAAAAAAAAAAAAAAAAAAGTTTCTTACGACTTTTCTTCCCTTTTTACACAACTTTAAAACTTCCTTCTCAATATAAATGAATTTTTGAAGAAGTATTTTACAAAACCCTTTCTAAAAGTTAAAAATTGCTAGCAAAACTTTCTATTTGTTGTAACTGTAAATGACAAGAATAATTCGTTCTGGAAGAATGGTCGAGTTATTGTCATTTTCAATCGCAGCATTAATACTAATCCGTAATTCTTGTAGGTGTGGTAAATAAACCATCTGCCACCCATTGTCCTTAGTCCTGTATGTCATAAACTTCGTACACAAACTCCACCCTCCAAGGTTACGTCAGCGAAATTTATGTCGAAGTGTTCTTGCTTGAGAACAATAGGCTAAAAGTGCAGCAATAAAGTTATAACCTTAACCTAAGGAGGAAGTTTGTAAATATGATGATTATTTACAGTCGTTTGGTGACGGTCCCTAAAGTGTGTTGCGACCCTCTCCACAAGTCAGTACCTACCTTCATGCAACATACAGATATGTAGGTACCACTTCCTGAAGAATATTTTTTATCCCCTCAGCTCTTTTCACGGTTATGTGAGGAAACCTTATTATCAAATTAAAGCCTTTTCCGGTGTTTCTGTTATAATTGTTGTATTGTTCTATACCAGACTTCCAATGAAATGATTGTTAATTTTGGCGTATTTAAGAGCAATTATAAAATCGATGTGATTTTTTACAAAGCTCAAATTATTACCGCTGCTGCTATATTTTATTGCATCTGCAATTTTTTTGGAGGAGGGAAACAGCCATTGAATTGTTTTCAATGAAGTATTTAAAAAAAAAAAAATGCTTTGTTTTGCGAGAGATATAGGCCATTTGTACAAATAACACGTTCTGCATTACTAGTTTTCGCTAAATATTTTGACAAGGTTAGCGATAATCTGTATGGAAATAAATTTATTTTCACAAAAAGCCGTTATTTGCGCTGTTAAAAACAGTGATATTAGGAATTTCCCCGATTTTAAACTTCACCATTTACCTCTTAAAATTTGGTTAAATGTTTCTCCATTTTCTATTTTACTGTCAATCATTTGGTGTGTGAACTTAATGTATTAGATTAATTAGTTTTAAAGTTAATATTTTATAAAACTGATTTTAATTGAATTAGGAATTATTGGTAAATAACGTTCATTTTCTCGTTCTAACTTTTAGATGGTTACAACCATGTTGCGCATTCTATGCACGGCTTGCATGACGTAACTCATGATGAAATCATCCACTATGAAGATAATCATGACTATGGACTTGAAACTCCAAATGCTCATAATCACTACATCGACAGCAGTCCTGAATTTTATCCAAATCAGCAACTAAACATTGGCCAAGAAACGAAATTTCAACCTGCATATCATGGAAAAAGTTTTACAAGAGGTAAGCAAAAAATGTGGGCCATCGCCTATATGTTGTGTGACAGGATCTGAGATAATGGGTTTAGCGAGAAGAGGTTGCAGACTCACTCACCAATTTATTTTTTACATTAATCAGTAAAAATTGTATTTATTTCTGTGATAGAGAGCATAAATTATGGATAACTTCTATCTACAAAAGGATATTTTAGCTGCTGGCTTAGTGTTGGCTAGCCGTTATTCAAATGGCGCCGAAATACGAATGATCGTTTCGTTTTTGAAATAACTTGAAGAAGTTCAACTACTTCTAGTTTATAAAAATCACAGATCGTAAATATACATTAATTAAATGCATAAACATCTAATAATAACTCGATAACATAGTTCAATTAAAAATAAGTATTAAAGCAGCTAGTTATAGGTCAGCTACATTCTAGCGACCGAATTTTATGGACCACAATTTGAAAGCGTGTTGCCAACGCAGGGCATCGAATAAATGTAAAATTAGTTATGACAGGCGTGAAAGTAAACAATAATAAGACATAAGTAAAAATTTGGTAGAGAATGAAGATACACAATGTGAGCAATTATAGATTAATAAGCTGAAGTAATTAAAAAAATTCATGAAATTAACTTTTTCTCAAAAATTTGTTTTGAAGATGGTTAAAAAGCAAAGAATTTTAAAGTGCACACAACACAATACTATTTAATGCATGGCTGTTAAATATTCATAAATTTTTTTTCAAAATCAGAAGTTATATTCATTTGATTTAGTCTGAGAGTTCTTGGATTATGTTTTGAGTAAAATATGAAGATAAATGATAATTTTTTTCACATATTAACAACTTTTAATGGACATCTTCATTATCTATGCAGATGTTTATAAAGACTGTATCAATTAATGTCAAAAGCAAGATGGCTTTTTACAGGCAAAACAGTTAATCAGTGTTTGGTAGAATTATGATCCATCAAACAGCAAATATTAAGCAGAAATATAGCAGTTGTAGAAAATGAAATTTTTTGCAGTTGTAGAAAATAACGTGATTATCTTCCTAATTTAATGCTTTTAGAAGAAAATAGTATTACAGTGGATTGTTATTGCTGTTATTTTTATTTGTTTCTTTTTTCATTCTATACAAAATATATTGTTTTTCTATGTTTAGGTCGATTTCCCCCCCATGATATTGGGTTACCAGAAGGCTATAGTCCACATCATCACTACGATACAACATTTCAAACTGTCCCATCATCTGTACCACCATCTCCTGACCAGTGGCCGGCAGATCTTAGTCATGGCAATGCTTCTACACTTCCCAACGGTCATCATGCAACACATCATCATCAAACTCATCCAGCATTTACTGCCCTGCAAACACGAGAATCCCCACTGTCACACTTGGGACATGTGCAAAATTCATCACCTGGGCATGTGCAAGGACAACAGGGCTGTGATGTCAAGCCAGTGATACAAGCTGCTGTTCTTGCTGGTTAGTTATGTTACTTTAATTTCTTTCATGGGATGTTTAATACAGTCAAAAGTCGTTAATTCGGACACCCATATTCCGGAATGATCTATAATCCGGACCTCAAAGCTACAACCTTTCTGCGCATGCGTCGCGTTGACGCATGCGCGTAAGACCTTTACCGCTGCGAATTTGCGTGTGCGCGTGCGCAAAATACGTTTATGAATGCGCATTTAATGTATAACGGACGGGATAAGCTAAGCTAAAATTATCTAATTATCTATTTCAGTTAATGTTGCAGATTGCGTTGTTCCTTAATCTTCGAATTGGATCCGGATTATTATTTTTTGCAGACTGTTAGAGCAATTTTATAAAAGTAAGCTTGAACTTTCGATTATGTCAAATAGAATTTTCGATATATATTTACTAATATGTAAAGGATATAGAAAGCGAAAGTATCTTTCGGAGTCCATTACACAAAAGTGGAATTGCTGCAAAAAATGGATAAAGGCATATATTTTGTTTATCTAACTTTAACGCTTGTTTATCTAAATTTTAAGTTTTTTATCTAAACTTTGTTTATCTTTAACGCGGTGGCGGGTGCAATGAATCTGTCAGCACTATCCTTATCTTAAGGGCAGATGTTTTTATTTTATTTGGCTTATAATTGCTTACTCAATGTAGTATTTCATCTCGATGTACTCCATCTTTGATATGATTTAAATCAAATGCCTCGTCATTATAATTCGCTTCCGATAGCGAAGAAAGTGACAGAGGTTATTGAAAACGAAAAAATTTCGATTGACAGATTAGTCGGTATTCTCGACACAGCAATTATAGGACATGAACAGCGGAACTTTGTAACTGAACAAGAAATTATGTCTGTTTATAGAATTAAAGAGAATGTATTATCACATAAAAAACGAATCAACTTAAACTGAAAGAAATGTTTAATAAAGTAAACAAATATTAAGCTTTTTTTTTTTTTTTTTTTGTAAATTTGATACCCTTTAGATCATAATTGTTCTTTATTTCGTAAATTACGGTTTTATATTTTTAATTTTATAATTTCTGCATGCCATTTTACCAGATTTAAACTGATGATCTATAATCCGGAAAAATCGATAATCCGGAATCGCCGAAGTCCCGACGAGTCCGGATTAACGACTTTTGACTGTATAATGTAATATTTTGTGTATTTGAATATAGCTGAATGAAATAATTCTGACGAATTGAAATTAATTTTTCAGGGAGTGGTCCTATTCAGCTGTGGCAATTTCTTCTGGAGCTTCTTACTGATAAATCATGTCAGGGCTTCATCAGCTGGACAGGAGATGGCTGGGAGTTCAAATTGACTGACCCAGATGAAGTTGCAAGGCGATGGGGCATTCGCAAAAATAAGCCCAAAATGAACTATGAGAAATTAAGTCGTGGACTGAGATATTATTATGATAAAAATATCATCCATAAAACTGCTGGAAAACGGTATGTTTACCGTTTCGTCTGTGACCTGCAAAGTCTTTTAGGATACACTCCTGAAGAGTTGCACGCAATGGTTGATTTGAAACCTGAAAAGAAAGATGATGAATAAAATTCCCACCTCAAAATTTTTTTTATCAGTTTGGGCTGTGAAATGGCTTTGTATTCTGTTATATTGTATATTTCTTACCAGTGGAGCTCCAAATGCTCTAAATGGCCAACTTTAAGCCCCTATGTAGTGATATTGCAAAGGCTTTGATTATACATGCCATTGATTACGCATGTGTGAATCATTCACCTTTCTAGTCTAGCTGAAGATGACTTGTTGTCCTGCTGCGATTAGTAGATATTTGTCAATGTACCTTTTGTATTTGCTGGTTTGATGCTTCGAAATTGAATGCAAATTGCTTAGTTATGGCAAGCCAAGAAGTTTTTTTGGGTGCATAAAGCTTAAATTGTGATTCTTCCATTTACATTACTTTTTTCAATGTTATTTGTAGTGTTAAAAATGAGGTGTTCCACCTGCCTCAAATTTGATCTCAAAAATAGTCTCAAAATGCCTTAATTTATGCTGCATTTTGACTGTATAACCAAAGTTTCAGTGTGATCTGCTGTCGTATATGCTGAAGGAATCGTCTGGCATTCGCTCCATGTAGTTGACAGTGACTTTTTTGCAATATGTGGGAGTGTAACCAGAATGGCCCAATATAAACGTCTAAAGCCATATTGTTGAAACTACCTGTGCTGCATGTTATGCTGCCTTAAAAAAATGTTATTAGCTTCTCTTGGTGCCTAAAGGTTGACTGTATGCTTTTTGTCATATGTTATGTACAATTTTAAGGTTTATATCTCTGAGGGGGACATGTTAAGTTGGCCAATTTCAGATTGTTATCTGTACCCAGTGACATTGTTCTTGATATATCTCTGATGGCTGTAGCATTTGCTTTTGTGTTTTTAAATCAATATGTCTATTTACAAAGCTTTTTTTTAAGTGGCTGTGTAGGTTCTAGTAGCTTTTTACTGACTTTTGTATGTATGTAAGTTGAATGTGGTTTATATTATGCTTCTTTAAATTGTATAGATAATATCAGTAGATGCTGCTGTAATTAATTTTATTTCAGTATAAATATATTATTACATATATATTTAAAATCTGAATTGAGTAAAATTTTCAAAAAATTTCAAGCAGGCATATATCTAAAAATTTATTCAGGGAGGTTCACATTAAAAATTAAAAAGATAATTGATCATAAAATTGCTTTTCTTGCAATGTATCATTCAAAACATTGATAGACATTTTCAGTTTTTCTTTTGCGTCACTGATGTCTTGTATAATTCAACATGATATACAAGATATTCTTCATTAAATTTAGTGAAAAATAGAATAAGTCTATCCTCCTGTATGTAGACAGTTTTCCTGTTCATAAATACTTTATAGATTTGTTTCAGTTTTATAAACTAATCAAAATATGTTATTTCTTTTACTAAGAAGATAGTTTTTATGCATATGATACATAATTGTTTCGTATGAGCTTTTGAACATTATTCAGATCTCTTGAATGTATTTCTTGGATATATGCTTGTTCATAAATATGAGTATTCCCTTTGTCAAGTAAAAATTTGAGAATTTTAATTCTATGGCTTTCAATTACAGCAGCAGTAATTTTTTTGTAAATAAAAATTGTCTAAATGTGCACTTCTGTGATTCAGGGACTACAGGGACAGATGTAATTAAATACAAATTATATTGAGTCAAATAGACAAAAATTCAAAATCAGACTATATCCAAGGTTAATGGTTGCACCTTTGTAATTTTAGTAGAGCTGCACTTTTTATTGTAGAAAGATTTGATTTCTGACTCTTTAATTTTCATACTTTAAATGTATTGTTATATTTCAAAATGAGACTATTTATCAATCTCTTCATTTCAGTTTCCCATCTACGTAAATAAAAACAAATCATATTCTATGACTGAGTAATTCTTTAAAATAATTCTTAACTTGTTAATTTACATTTTCGATCTTTCTCAAATCATTAGTTTGTGTTCATTAATAGCTGGTTTTTACTAGATGTATAAAACACAAATAAAAATTTATCTGGAAAATTTGTTTCTTTTTATTGATAATTATTTATGGCATGTAATTTATTGCAATAAAAATCTACAAAATAACAGTAGATCTCAAGAGTTCTTTGTGTATTAAAACAAATATTCAGAATAATTTTGCTTGATAAAATACCTATATTTTAGAAGAAGTGTATGAAAATAAACTAATTTTAATGTAAGAGTACTGAAAGAACATGAATAAAAATTATCTACAAGTATTAATGAATATTATTTGATAAAAATATATTATAAAAAGGATTTCAAATGATAATTTTTATGAGGTATTTGAAGAATTATGATAGTTTATTCAATTACCTTTTAAAAGGTATTTCCGAAAAATCTTATAAGTGAGATTGAAACCTGATAATAAATAAATAAGTTTACATTTATTAATGTAATGTGAAGGCCATTTTCAAAAGTAAAAGAAATCTTTATATACATATATACATAAATTTATTTATTTTTAGGAATATATTATATAGGATGTGAGAATTATTTACTTATTTTAATTTGTTTTAAGAAATGTAACTATTTAATTATTGGAATTGTTTTAATTTTAATGAGTTATCTCAGAAAAAGAAATACGAAAACATCAAGATGTTGTTAATAAAGTGTACTAAAAATCTTTTTATTTATAAGATGTATGCTTAATATTGATTCAGTAGAACTTTATTAATATTTAATATATTTTGCTGTAATCGGATAATATTTTGATGATATACAGTATTTTTATGACATGAGTTTATAAAAGTAATCTGTATGCTATTTATTGTTTCCAAAATTCTTTCACATGTGTAATTAATAATTGAGTGATAGGATTCAAAAGCAAATCTTGTATACTTTGTTCTACATTATAAACTATCTATACAAGCATGGTGTTTCTTTAAAACTATCAATTACTTTATCAAAAGAAACTATGATTTTAAAACTAAAAATATTTCTTTAATTAGAATATTTTACTGTAAATCTCCAGTAACTTGTGTATTAATTTTCTGTTTACTGTATTCTAATGTCAGTATTCCTGTTCATGCAGAAGTAAATAGTGCCTTAGTTGCTGTACTTTGTTACCTTTTGAATGCCACAATCAAAGGTTTGGAAAAAAAAAAAAAATGTTATCTGTTGTGTGTGATGTGCTTTTCTGTAAAAATCCAGAGTCCAGATTTTTGAAAATTGTCTTCCAGAGCTTTCTGTCATCCTGAACGCACATGTCTGCTCTGGAAAGTTGAGCCATCTACTTATACAAATAAAAATTACGTGTAAAATACCTTTTGTAGTAATATTTCATTTCAACAAACTAAACATTTAGTTTACCTAAAAGACAAAGTCATATAGCCATTTTCTTGCTTTTGAACATAAATTACAAAAATGACAATTTTTACTTGATAGAAAATGGGAAGGTGAAGACTGTGTACACCTGTTCAAGTGGTATATTTCATTATGTTCTTTATCAGGAAAACTTAAAATTATCAGCAATCATTTAAAGAACATTTAATAAATCTATGATTCCTTGTCTGGATACAAACCATTAAATTTTAGGATCTATGGTAAACAATTCCATTGCAAAAAAGGAATCAGTCTTCAATTCTCTGAACATATGAAATGCTTTGATGAATACATGGCTTTCTTGTAGATGTTGAGTCCTGTTGCAGAAATATTGTTCAGTGATTGGCAACATAAAACTGTGTTGTCTTTAGCTGCATTTACCAAATAGGACATACAAACTTTATAAAGCAAGAGCTATATTTGCTTTGATCGCTTGTTGAAATATGAGAAAGTGATGTCATTTTTGTTGTCATTTAATGCTTCTTATACTTTTACATAGAATTAAAATTCAAGTTAGTTAAATGTAGTTCAACTTTAAAATTTTTTGATATATCAACTAAACCTGGTTTCAAAAATCTGCATTTCGAAATATGCTGAAGGATATCATTTAGCTTCTGAAGTGCAAGTACAGTCAAAAGTCGTTAATTCGGACACCCATAATTCGGAATGATCTATAATCCGGACCTCAAAACTAAAAACTTTCTGCGCATGCGCCGCATTGACACATGCGCATAGGCGTTTAAACGTGCGCGTAAGATCTTTTACGACTGCACATATGAGTGTGCGCAAGTGCAGAATACGTTTTCGCGTGCGCGTTTTATGTATAATGGACGTATAAGCTAAAATTATCTAATTATCTATTTCAGTTAATGTTGATGATTGCGTTGTTCCTTAACTTTCGAATTGGATCCGGCTTATTATTTTTTGCAGACTGTAAGAGCAATTTTATAAAAGTAAGCTTAAACTTTCGATTATATCAAATAGAATTTCCGATATATATTTGTTAATATGTAAAGGATCTCTAAAGCGAAAGTATGTTTTGAAATTCGAAATCTGTTTATCAATTTCACGCTGCTCGGCGGGGGAAACGCGCCGGCGGGCACGTAATGAATTGGAAGTTGATCTGTCAACACTATCCTTATCTTCAGCGCAGATGTTTTTATTTTATTTGGCTTATAATTGAAGATCAGATGTTTTTATTTTATTTGGCTTATAATTCCTTACCAAATGTAGTATTTCATCTCGATATGCTCCGTCTTTGATATGATTTAAAACAAGTTCCTCGTCATTATAATTCGCTTCCGATAGCGAAGAAAAGTGACAGAGGTTATTGAAAACGAAAAAATTTTCGATTGACAAATTAGTCGGTGTTCTTGACACAGCAATTATAGGACTTGAACAGCGGAACTTTGTAACTGAACAAGAAATTATGTCTGTTTAATAGAATTAAAGAGAAAGTATTATCACATGAAACGAAGCAAAACTTAAACAACTTACATTGAAAGAAATGTTTTATTTAAGTAAACAAATAAATATTAAGGCTTTTTCTTTTTTGCAAATTTTGATACCCTTTAGATCATAACTGTTCTTTATTTCATAAATTACTGTTTCATATTTTTAATTTTAGAATTTCTGATGGCATCTTACGGGATTTAAAACTGATGATCTATAATCCGGAAAAATCGATAATCCGGAATCGCCGAAGTCCCGACGAGTCCGGAATAACGACTTTTGACTGTAATATCATGACATCATCCAAAGCCATGCTGAGTGCTTTTCACAACACATATTTTTTTTTTAGAATTTCTGGCAATTCAGGATTTGATTTCAGTGTTTATTAAATTAATCAAAATTTTAAGTGCCATTTTATTATCATTTTAAAAAAAATCTTTGAAGTGGATATTTTTTTTTCCATTTGGGAAACAGTAAATAAATATGAAAAGAACAAGGTAGATGAATGTTTCAAGACAGAAAATTTTTGCCATAAAAAAACAGTTTAAGGACTCTGAAACTGTTGCTAGGAGGCTGGGACAACATCGCAGAAGAAAAGTAATTGCACCTCAAGATCGAGTTCTTGTCTATGTTTTACCGTAGTACCAAGAACTTGTCTGTTGTTGAACTTGCAGCTACTGCTAGAAATTTTATATGATCATACAATATACCTTTATAGGAATCTGAATGAAAAATAACTTAAGCCAACGATTTGTGTTTTACTAATCAGATAACAAAAATGGCACTTATGAATTGCTGAAAAAGTCTGACTGATGGAAAGGTAGACAAGAAAAGGAAAGAAATTTATATAGTGAGCATTCTTTTCACAACCAGTTCCCTGTGATTATCAACTTCTGAAAATGTAAATAAAAATCAAGTCTCTAAAGCAATGATCTCCATGGGATACCAAATGAAATGAAGAGAAATGCAGAATTTTGAAATTTAAAACTATGGGGGGGGAAGAAGAAAGCAGTCTTAATTTGGTGTAGATATTGGATAAAACTCTGTCGATTTCGAGTATGATCAGACACAGGTTCCTCTACTTTAGGAAAGGATATATATACATATATATGTAATGAAGCAAACTTAGATGTAATGATTTAGAAACACTGATAGCATAGATGTAGAACTACTGCATTTTGTAAAAGCTGATCTATAATGAAGAGCAACTTGGCAGTCGTGGCAGATTAAATATTCATTTTTATTTCAGTAAACATTTTGTGGCCACAAACGAATTGCCACACTACTCATGCCTTTTCAAGAACATTTACATTTCGGATAATTTTGTTGTAAAAAGAGCAGCAAGCAGCAGTCTAGCTTGGCTGAAGTGCAGAAAGCAAGTGTCTTGTGTTCTGGATGAAATCTTAATTCAGAATGAGTTAGTTTCATTCCTCTACGCATCTGACTGTACAATTAATACTGCTGTAAAATTTTTATTGGTGGTGTGAGCTTTAGTTCTGTTTACATCACCCATGTTATGTAAGATTCGCATGACATGGATTAGTCTGGAAATGATGCAGTGCAGAAAAAGATATTATTTTTAGAACAGAGATGGGAAATACGCAAATTAAAATTAAGCATTAAGGGGCTATTGCTAATTTAAATTATAATTCAGATTCACATATTTTTTATCTTTCTTATATATAGAGAGATAGGTAGATAAAATAAAATAAAAATAATGTTTTTTAAATAAAATTCTTAACAATAAGATGTCACAGTCGCAACAAAACAACTTTTTTTGACACTTTTCAATAAATTATAAATTTATTACAGACTGTAGGTCCAAAATGTAATAATAAACTGCTAGTTAAAAAATAAATTTAAAAAAAAAAAAAAAAAAAAAAAAAAGATAAAAATTCAGTTTTGGTGATTTTCGGTTATCGGGCTACTTGAAGTCACGGGTGTACAGAGATGTAATTTCTTTTCATAAATTTAATATGTAATATTCCGTATGTGAATAACGAAACATTTCGTTATACAAGGAAATGTTCAAATAAGTAAATATCCTATAAATATAATACTAAAATGGGTTTTCTTTCGTCTGATTATAAAGTACAATAATTTAGCTATTTTTCTGAAGAGGAGCAGTTTAGGAAGAGAGAAGTAGTGACGAAAAAATAGAATAAAAGCCAAGCAATTAAAAAAAAATATTGCAAGTTAAATAGAATTTTCTTTTTGGAAGGGAGAGGGGGCGATATTTCTGATTAGAAAGAAGAAAGGAAAAAACAGGTGTTAAATTAAGAAATGTTAAGTTTTTAATAAATTACAATAGAAACTCAGATTTTTAATAAAATTTAGAAATTTTGGAATAATATGAAGTGTCCTTAAATATTAAATTGTAAAGAAAGATAAAATTATGCAGCTTCTAAACAGGTAATACTCAAAAGTATTTGCAATGTAATATACTTAGAAAATGATCATATGATTTGGATCATATATAATATGTTCTGCCTTTGCAGGTAGACTGTGTTTTAGACAAATATGTAATAAATAATATATATAATAACAAACATGTAAATAATGGATAGCAATTATATAACTTTAACAGGATAAGGTACAAGCGATGAGAAAATTTCATATGATTATATTGAATATTTTCAATAATTTAAAAATTTCAAATATTACGGAAATATTTTAATACCTTGAAGAATATAACTTCTTATTAGATTAATACAAATTTGTAGTTATCTGTTTTACTGAAGCAGTTATCTAAAACAGGAGTTCTGCGACATTACACTAGTTATTTAAAAGTGATTCAATACTGCATGACATTCATTCACATCTTTAGTGACATGACATTCGTGCCATTCCACCACATGTTTCATTCATGTCACTCTTCTCTATGACGTTATATTAAAGTCGCCATGTGACATTACAGGAATGTCGCAATGTAACCTCACAGCAACGTCACAGTGTAGCAGCATGACTATGCATTAACGTCACAGACTTCACATCAATGCCACAATGTAACTTCACATTAACATCACAATACGACGCCACATAAACGTTGCAGTGTTACATCATACAAACATCACAGTGTGCCGTAAAGAGAAGCAGGCATTAAGCTCTGCCTACAACACCAGAGATCGTCACAGTGTGACGCATTTTCAATGTCACAGCAACGTCACTGTACTGTTGGGGTATATATATATAGGTTAATTTGAATTTAACAAACATTATTTATTCGTAAAAAGCAAATTTAAAGATAATTAAAAATTAAATTTAAATTATGAAATTTTAATTGTAAACAAATAAATTAATTATTGCTACAAACTAATCTACAATATCATGTAAATTCTGAGAGCATATGTAAATAAATGCAGGTATCAAAATCCATGAATAAATATAATATTCCAAAATTTTTTTAAACCTAAAAAATTAAAAAATGCAGAGAATAATTGTTCAGCAGGCAGGAGGCAGACTTATCAAGGGGAAGTTGCCTACAAACCTAACTCTTCAACTACTCAATTCGTGTTTCTTCATTCATGTAAGCAAGGACAAAAGTAAAATCAAACGTTGTGAATTACTAAAAAGAAATGAGTGGAATTTAGAGAAATTAGCAAGTAAATGACTAGAATTAAAATTAAGTCAATTAACAGTAGAAAACCAAATATTTTAGAAAATCAAAGTAATTTAGAAACTTTTGCTTACAGAAAACTTCCCCCGACACGAATTATGCATGTAAATCAAAAATAAACTATATACAATTTATTAAAAATACATAAATAATACTAAAAAGCATACATGCATGAATTTCTAAATCCGGTCCGCTAACAGAAAAGTACTGATTACTCTCAAAAGGTATGTAATATACCTTGTTTTTTAAGAAACTTTTTTTTTTCCTTCTAAACTGAGTAATCTTAGTTGAAATCAAATATAAAGACAAATAAAATACCCTCACTTGCTTACAGTACAGTCATATTCTGTATGTAGGAAAATCAAATCAAGATTTTTCAAATATCCTGATGAACTATAATTTCAGTTAATGTAGATACTTGATTTGAATGGTCTTGTCTACAGTCTTTTCTTGCTTTGCGCAATTAATTTTTGTCTCAGCAAATAGGAATAATAAATTAATAATTTCGATGTAAAAATCATTAAGTATATTATAATGGTAATAATAAGTATATTATAATGGTAATGGTATTATAATGGTTCTTTTCTATTATAATGATACTTTATTAAAATGTGTAAGTAGAATAAATAACAAATTATGTTATAAACAATTAAATTAAAAAATTATTAAACCCCATGCACAGTAGATGGCAGCACAAACAGTAGAGATTTAATGTTGAATTTAAAAGCTGTGAAATTGGAATTGCTATTAAAGCACGTTTTTTAAATATTTTAAATGAGTAATAGAATGAACACCATTTTCGAATAAAATGCGAGTATTTTTAAATAATTTATCTATTTATACCGGTCTGAAATGGAAAAGAATATATTTACAGTTTATAATTTTTAGGGTGAAAGATCCAAGCTGTGTGACAAGAAGAGATTGAGATTTTACTTCATATTTTGTATTGATATTGTGATTTCGAACAATACGTGAAGTAAAATGGATTTGAGAAAAATGAAAAATGAAGAAAAGCTAAACCTCTGTAGACGATATTATACTGGTAAATATGTTTTATAAGCTTCGAATTTCATTTTACATTTAACATAAAATTTTTAGATGAGATTTTCGTTTTATAAACTAGAACAAGATCTGTGATTAAAAAAAGAGTTTAATTCTGATTTTGCGAGTCTGATTTTACATTTTTATTATGTTTTCGTTTGAATATTACTTGCTTTATTCATTTTTTACGTCATTGGTTTGCGTCATTTCGAAAGGTAGAATTAATTTACTCGGCAGTACGTGGTGAAACTGCATTCATTATTCAAACTGTTCATTTTAGTGTGGATTCAGAAATGTTGTGAATTTGTTTCCTTTTTACCGTCTTTCTGTCTGTTATTGGTTACTTCTTGTGAAACATTTAGTTGTCAGCTTGAAGAGCGTATATTTTAATAAATTGAAGCGTATGGAATCATTTCTTGCAAATACCTGGAATGTAGTTTCTTATTAACAAAATGGAATTCCAGCCTTGATACCCTTCAAGCTGAACGTTTGTTCATGTTATTCATACATAACTTGTGTACATGAAGTATAGATTTTAATTTTTTTTTAATTGCGTGACATCTGCTTTTTATGAAATCAGTTTTATAATTTTATTTGAGAATTTAAAAAGAAAATGGAGTGGTAGCAGTGGTTATTAGGCATTTAATTATGGCTGAGCACTTAAGGGACATTTACCTGGGAACAGATGATTGCATGAAGAATTTTTCAGAAGAAAAGCATTTAGATTGCATGTGGAAAACACCATTTATCTACTTTCAGGCATCAGGAATAAAATCTGGATAAACTACCTGTTGTATGTGGCTTTAGCCATGTGGTTGCTTGTGAGCTGGAAAACAAATTTTTGTTTTTATATTTTCTATTAGAACTTGAAATTCCTCAAGAAGTCTTTTTGAGGCATAGAGATGGAGATATATTCAAACTTTTATAAGCTTTTTAATCTATACTAAATAAATTAAATCCTGAATGAATTTCACATTATTTTACTGAAATGAAAAATGCCTGCAGGAATAGAATATTTAATCAGCGCTCAAAACAAAGTTTGGTAATAATGTTGTGTGCAGTGTACTGATTTTATTTATTTATTTTTTAGATTGTGCCTCTAAAATGTGTTAGTCATTTCTTTTTTCCACCATTTTGTTTTATATTCGAGTTTGAAAGATATTGTATATTTTATTATGTGAAGCTTTTATTATTGAATTTAGGAATCTCCACCGAGTTTCTATAATATGACATGGAGCATTTGGGGTGTAGTATCTTTATAAACCCTCAGTATAATTTAGTTTTTGGAGTATTAATGCCATCTACGGATTGCCCGATTCTTTTGGTGTTGTATGGTTCAGTTATTATATCCTAATTGGTGCAACCTCTTATAAGAAGACCATTTGTCACTGATGATAACTGAGCCAAGTATTGCTTCGTGTTGGATTATGGGTAGTAACATTGCTGCATCATTTTGTGCTACGATGAAAAAGTATGTTTCAAGTTTATCAGTTCATCATGTTAAACCAAATACCCAGGATCTTTATATTCATTTTGTATCTAAGAGATAAATAATGTACTAAAAGTGGTACGCCACATACTACATCATTACCCAAAATTCATTCAAGGTTAACAGGAAAAAAATCTTATATTTAATAATTTGAGTAGGAGGAAACATGAGAATTATCTGATTTTTTTTATATATTTTGAAAAAATTATATATAATTAGTAGATTAGCATTATATTTTAGCAATTATGCATTTTCCCCTTATTATTTACTTATTAAAATTTATAATTAATAAAACATTAGTATCAGAATTTAGGTATATAAGCAGTTAAAAATTATTGAGAATGTTGTTATTTAAAAGTTCTCTGATGAATCGTTCATTTAACTTTCATTATTAAAATAAATACTTTCTGGTTATCTGCATCCCCATGAAAGGATGTCAGTCCATTTATGACTTAGTAAATTGGTAGAAAATATAAATTTAGTCATATTTGCAACTCAGGGGTACATGTTAACTTCATTTATAATAATAAAAGTATTATATAAGGAAAAAATATACTGATATTTAGATGTTTGTTCCCTATGGAGATGGCTCATATATATTTAAATCTAAAGTTTGTAAATCCCCAAGTACTCAGGAACATGTGTAGAATGTATCTGAACAAGTTGGCTGTTCTTGCAATGCCAGTGCACTGAAAGTATGATAGTTCTATCGAGTGTTCAAATTGGAGGTGCGAATGATCAGAAAGTAGATAAAAACAACTCATTTATATAAAATTCTTTTATTTTTTAATACACTCAAATAAAATAAAAAATAAGCTCTGAAAGCTTTCAAATTTTATGTTATGCCTGCCTCTAGTGTAGAATTGGGTGCCAATTCGATTAGCGATAAATTTTTAAAAAAATTTGGCGATGAAACCTCATTTCTGGTTACCATGATAGTTTTAACTTCCTGATTTTTTTAAAATGAAAATAGATTGATGTGTACATGGACAAATTTACGGCAGTGCACAATGCCTAGTTTGTGCAATTCTGGGAAAACAAGTCGATGTGTACATGGACACAGAGTTTGTGAAATTCTTTGACTTTTTATTTGGTTTTGTGTAGTGGCCATCTTGAAATTGTGCCTTCCTGGTGCCGATCTTGGAGTAAAAAAAGAATCGCCAAAAACATGTATTTAAAACAAAGGGCACCCAATTGTAAACTTTTAGCCCAAACAGGCATTCTTTTCATTTAGAGACACGTAACATGATTCGAAAGCATTTGGGCTAAAATATTTAAAAATAGGATATTTTAGAATTTCAATAGACTGTTTTAATCAGTGGAGTTAAAGGTGTTTTATTCCATACAGTCCTGCCACTGTTCACTTTTAAATTGTTGAGTTTTTTAATAAAAAATTCATTGAAGTTTTAAAAATATGAGGTATTTTACTGTTATTGGGACCAGATTAAGAAATATATGTATGTGTGCTTGTGTGTATGTATGTGCATATAAGTGTATGTACACATACATACATTTCTGAATCCGGTCCTGATAACAGAAGAGTATTTATATGAAATATATATGAACACATATGAAATACTCAAATTCAGGGTTGATCTTTACATTACGGTAACTTGGCGATTTTTTGGCGAAATTTGGCGACCAACTTCCCTACAGCAACCCTTTTTTTTTGTTTTTTTTTTTTTTTTTTCTTTTTTTTTTTTTTTTTTTTTTTTTTTTTTTTTTTTTTTTTTTTTTTTTTTTTTTTTTTTTCCCCGCCGCCATTTTGTCTTCACGAAGTAAAGACATGTTTCTTTTCTTCTTATCTACTGAACACTTCTTCCAACAATCTACTAGCCGAATTACACTTATGCTAGAAATTTTATCAAACAAAACTGCTTAATAATCATGACAAATATTCACTGCAAAATTCGGAAAAAGTGCACAATACCATACACCTTACGCGTTTTTTCAAAATACACACATACACATAAACCATGTACACGCCGACTTATTTTACTTAAAAAAACATCCCAGAATTGCACAAAAATGGCATTGCATTGCGCACACACTCTTCACTATATCCATGTACACTGCTTTTCTTTTTTCTCATAAATTCGAAAAATTTCACGAAAATACATGACAATTTTTCTCAATCTTTAAAACTTTAAAAAAAAACCCGGTAAAAAGAACATATATGAAATTACCTGATCGCGAAAAAGTATTTACCCTTTACAAATATGAACATTTCCACATATAAAATAAATAAAATATCCAAAACCTTTTACCTCTAAATCATCTATTACATTATACACGTCACCAACGAATTCATACATGAAGCATTACAAATATTTAGTATCAAATATTTAAATTATTGCATGCACGTTTATTTCAACTGAAACGTAAACCAAATTCCTACAAGCATAAAATTCACAAAATAGCTATCATTTCATTAAAATATCACTGAACCATGTACACGTCGACTTATTTTTACTTAAAAAAACATCCCAGAATTGCACAAAAATGGCATCGCGCACACTCTTCACTATATCCATGTACACTGCTTTTATCTCATAAATTAAACAAAATTTCACGAAAATACATGACAATTTTCTCAATCTTTAAACCTGGTAAAAAGAACATATATGAAATTACATGATCGCGAAAAAAAAGTATTTACCCTTTACAAATATGAACATTTCCACATATAAAAATAAATAAATATCCAAAAACTTTTACCTCTAAATCATCTATTACATTATATACACTTCACCAACGAATTCATACATGAAGCATTACAATATTTATTATCAAAATATTTAAATTATTTTCCATGCACATTTATTTCAACTAAATTAACATACACCAAATTCCTACAAGTATAAAATTCACAAAATAACTATCATTTCATTAAAATATAATTAAATTCAAAAAACACCACTTAAAAATATACATGAGCACATACATTCAATTAATAAAATTACCTTACAATCCTAATTACTTTAAACTAAATCATTGCTAATAACAATTTTTCCCAATAATACCAAATTCCTTTCCACCTTACATTTCCAACAATGCATAAAAATAATTAAAAATACTAACTTACCTAATCTCCTTCAGAATCTTCATTACATGGCGGATACACTTTTCTTTTCTTTTCTCATTCTCTTTCAGAATCTTTAAAATCATACTTATCTTTCAAAGCAAGATACCAGGTAAAATAAATAACATAATAAAACATGTTTATTTCTCTCTCTCACACAACCTTAAAAAACATTTCTTACTATCCTTTTCAATACCACTAAATACCCATTTCGAATTCACTTTACTTACGGCCATGGGATCCCAAAATAATTCACAAACACTATTTCACACAACACAGAATAAAGCCAATACAAAATTTCCAGATTTTTTCCCGATTCCCCCCCTTTTCCAATTAAAGAACCGTAATTCGTCCATTAATATCACATGACATATCCCATGATCTCTCATTTCCCCCACACAAAATAATGCGTAATCGGAACTCAGTACTG